AAGAGGATTTGTCATTAAGAGCGGGACACGTCGCGTCGTCGGTCTCATGATTAACGGAGACCGACTCGGTCGAGGAACGGCATTACGATGAGATTATCGTAGTCAACGACTCAAATCGTTCCTGACGATCGTTTAAGAATGAAGAACTGAGAAACAAATCACATCGCGGCACCGGAAACAAGACGTTCTCCTTGTCTCCCCTGCCAACGAGAACGCGAGAGTTCGGGTCAGTTTGATTAACGAGTCGTATCCGTTTTGAATCTTTATTCGTCTTGGCGCCGAATGAACGCCAAGACGTACGTTGACAAAATGTAACGACGGTGGTGCCACTATAAAATATTCGCCCAAGAGAAATCGATAGTAATTGGCGAGAGTTATCGTCACACTCTAGTGAGAATCCGACGTTCCAAATAATTGATTCCTGATAATCCCCGAAACTATTATAACAATGAAATTTGTCGCGTTATAATTTTAATAATTGTCTATTTTCATCCAACTTATTTATGTCAAATAGCATGAAAAAGGCGATAAGATGCTTATCGAAAAAGTTTTTAAAATATTTAATAATTTTTCTTTCTCATTAATCATATCAATACATAGATATCATTTCTAATTTTGATGAAAAAAATTATTCTATTTCATTTTTTGTAATTTTCCTGACAGACTTTTTCCTACATTTTTTCCACGTAGTACTTATACATATAATTTGAAAAAGTAATTAGGATGATAGTTTTATCCCCGTTGTAGAAATCTTTAAAACATTTCGCCACTTCTCAACGCGTATAGCGCCGCGTCGGATTAACTCAGGGATGTTTTCTGTTTTGAGCGATTTACGAGGAGAGCAATGAAAGCGGCGGTCAGGATGGGGTCGCAAAGCGCAGGCAGGCATTTGCCCGCGTTGGTCGCGCGAATGGGGCGAGCTAGCAAAGCGATACAATATTTCTCGGTGGCGCGTCGCGACATTGCGCGCCGTCGTCCGCGAATGACGTCGGCTGCTCCAGCGGTATCAATAAATACCGACTTTGCGAGAGCGGCGGCTTGCGTTCTCGGTTTCGCGGTGGTATCTCGAACGGCTTAATGGCGCTGTTAACTGCCGTATTATTTAACGTGGATTTATGTATCGGAGAGACTCGGCCGATTAAAACGCCACCGCGGTTAGCGAAGGACGGTGGCTGCTGCCGTGCCACCGCCGGCGCCGCGTTTGGGAGATACAGATGAGAGGAGAGGATGCAGACGTTGGTCGCCGTATCTCGTGTTCTTAATCCCTCGTTATAGCCCGTTCTGATAAACAACCGCGTCCTCGGCGGCGGTGGCGAGAAGGACCACAGCGTGAAAAAAATACGGAAAACGATTACGACGGCGTTACCTTCGGCGACGTACGAGCTTTGCCGTGATCCAACTTAATGCGCCGGGCCCGTCTTCCTTTACTTAAGTCGGCAGTTACGCCACGATCGAAGTATTTCTGTGAGTTGTAAAAAGATTTGTTTTTTTTCCCCGGAAAAAATACATCATACGAGAAACTTTACGTGACGTAAAATTGCGCGCAATTGCGTTGTTGATGCGATATGGACGTCCCAAGTCGCAACGCTGTACTATATAGGAACTCAAGATCACGATGCTATCGCCATGATAAGTGTGCCTATACCTATACATGCCTATATCTTGCATAATTGACAGATCTCCGAAGAACGGGCTTTTATATAGAAGAAGAAAAAGAACAGTTCTGTACCGCAATATTATCTATGAAATCAGCATCATATGCTACTTTTAGAATTCCAATATAATTGACAGACTACTAACTCTTCCTCAAAGAATGTCTTAATGATATCTCAGAAAAAGCAGAGATCCGAAAATATGAGATACTCACTTCAAGTAAATTCTGTTTTGTGACTTATTTTGTTAGTAACAACTTTTTTATTTTTATCATCAGAGGATCGATTTGAATCATAATACTTTTCGATATCGCACATTGCAAATTACAATATCGCTAGATTTTAAGCATAAAAATTAAAATATTTCTTTTAATATTGAAAAGCATTATTTTCTGGCAATAAACTTTGAAAGGTCCTCTTAAGGGGATCCTAAAGTGAAGGCTGAACTTCCTTGACGTCGGTAATGTCAACATTTCTAATTCTGTTTTCTTGTCATATATCTATATCTGTCCTTGTCTAACGAGAGGCATCTGTCTTTGTTCGATTACTGCGCCATCTCTTGCCACACGCAATATTGCTTATCCTGTCAACCTGAATGTGCTTTTGCACATATAAAAGTTATATAAAGTAATCTTTTTTTCTAGGTTTTCAATCTTAGATCTAATTGCACGATATTGTTCTTAAATGTTGTCCCTAGGTCATGCCGGTCTAATTTTGTGGATATTTATCGTGGAATTTTTGTACAAAGCAAATATTGTCGTTACGTATACCAAAAATTAACAAAAATATTAATTTTTTTTTGTTTTCGATATAAATTTGACCACCATGACCTAGATTTTGATGCGTACTTTAATTCTAGACAAGAATTTTGCATTTCTATAAAGTCAATTAAAAGATTAGTGCTAAGAAAAAAAGCCGGTATTACAGATGGCTTTAGGATCCCCTTAATAAAAATCCGGACAATCCGGGATGTCTTGCAATGCGAGGGTTATAAGCGACGTCTAAGTTCCCTATTTTTCCGAGATTGCAGCTGTCGCAGTCAGCGCGGGAGTGTGCGGCAATCGCGTTCAAGGGTCGGGTGTTTTCTAGGACGCGACGAAGGAGAGAGAGATTCCTGGCACGCGGAGAAACGGAATAATTCTATGCGTTCGCGGTGCATACACGAGTGACTGTTGGCGGGGGTGAGAAATAGAGAGAAAGAGAGAGAGAGAGATGACGGGGCGATAGGAAGGGTTGGCAGTCGAGCGGCGATCTCGTGCATCATCCACGTCACGATTGCTGCCAATGGGATCTTGGATATCAGGTGATGCTATTGGGGATTTGCATCTCCTGGCTGCGCCGAATGCATGAGAGAGGTGAGGAGGCCCTCTCGTCCTCCGTGAGCCGGCTGGCGCGACGAGAACGATGGGAAATCCGGTTGCATTGCATATATAGGCGAGTAAGACGAGAACGCAGCCAGTGCGCATACATACAGGGTGCTTCCAAATTTAAACCATACCAATTTTTATAAGCGTATTCTTTATTTCGTAGCCGAGGCTTTCCTTTAATTTTGGTTAATTTAAAGTTTAGTTATTAAAAGATTTAATTCTCGACAAGATAAGACCTTTCAGGTTCCATGGGAAACGTTGGACTTAAAACGATGTAAACTGATAATTAATATAAAAAATAGAAAAGCGTAAAAAAAATAATTTTATGTGAAGAAAGTGATAAGATTGTTTCCTTGCAAATATTGTCATTTTAATAATATTCTTTTTAATTGAGATCATAGAAGGATTATTTCCGTATTAAAAATTAACAGAATTTATGTACCTGCTGAGGTTTAACGGTGAAACTTATCAATCGAATTTTCACCATGGAGAGATCGACTGCGAATTCGTTACAGAGTTCGCCGGGTAAATTAAAAGCTGTTTAATTTGAGACCACCGTGTAGATCGTGGCGGACGCGAGAAAGAGACGCGGATAGATAGCTCGATAGTGGAAACGGGAGAAACGAAGAGAAACGGAACATGGTCGATGTGTCTAGCGCAACCCGGCTGACTGGCTGGTTGGTTGGTTGGCTGGCGGGCTGGCTGGCTGGTTCGGGTAGTAGCTGGCTGGCTGGTTCGGCTGACTGGATCAACCGGGGACCGTCTAGCTTGCGTCTACCCTGCCGCACCAAGCCAACCCGGCATTATCTATACGTCTAGACACCCCTGCGCCACCGAGAGAAGACCATAGCGGTTTGGCGCTCCGCTTGTAATTTACAGCACACCCCGCCGTGTCTCTACACCCACAAACTCTCTCTCTCCCTCCCCTCTCTTTCTCTCTCTCTCTCTCTCTCTCTCTCTCTCTCTCTCTCTCTCTCTCTTCATCTCCGCCTCTTTCGCACTTTTGACGACGGCTAAGATCGCGCTTGCACCTCCTCTGCTCGAGTTTTTCCACGTACCCCCTTCGTTCCTCCTTCTTCACCCGTTCCCGCCTTGATGTTCCTTCATTTTTCTGCCATCCGATACCAGCTCGAGTGACTGGGATCGAAAGTTCACCGACGTTATCGTAAATCTTACGTCTAAATCGCGAGATCGCTTTTTTTTAAATATAATTTTGAAACGCGATGGAGATAATTGCATTCGACGATACGAGGCGTGAATATCGCATAAGTCTGTACGGTTATTTCATTGAAAATTCACGCTCACGCGCGTTGTTGCCGTTCATTAGAATGGGAAATTGTTGCCGAGAGATTGCTGGATGTTTGTAATTTCATGGAACAATGGCGTGGCAAGCTGCAGACGTTATCGCATTTATTAATACTGATGCGCAGATATATTTACGTCAAGGTCGGTGGTATGCATGCATGCAATCTCCCATTCGGTCATCCCTCCCACAGCCAGACTTTTATATGACTGTTCTATAGCAGTTAGAGAAAGCTCTGTTAATCCTGGCACTAGATAAAAACAAACCCCGCCCGAAGCACGAAATATGCGTCTGCGGCTGGAAAAGCAAAGCAAAATTTCCAATCGATTCCCGCTAAATAAGCGGCGCGGTAAACTTCAATTTAGAATCGTCGGTATCGTTCGCATTCTAATTCATTCTAGCAGTCGAAATAATCATGAATCAGTCGTAGGCCACGTACTGTGTGTTGTTTTTCCAAGATTTTATCCGAGCAGATAAATCGACATAGGTTTATCGGTATTTTGACACGTCGCGCCCTATGATTTTTGCGGATTTAAACAAACAAATAATAAATTGTGAAAAACGGATACGGTGTCTGGACACTCATACATGTATCATTTTACTTGTACAGGCTTATACCTTGTATATATGCAAGAACATTGATATAATTGTATTATATAAAATCATATAATGTAAAAAGATGTTTGAAAACTAAAAATTATTTAATTGGAATTTATTTAGGGATTTTTTTTACAATGGCTATTATATAATGCATAGCTACGTTCTCTGAGCTTAGCGATCAATCCTGATTCCTTATAAAAATTCGTTTTAGTGTTTCCGGCAGCAAACTACTTAGATAACTACTGCGCTAGCAAGTGGATGAACGCTAGCACGACGATGAACTTTCGAATTTCGGGACAGAGGAAGGAATAAAGGATGGCGCGATTTTCCCAGGAGTATAAATCGAATGGAGATGCAAGCTACGACGACGAAGGAAGACGGATGGCTAGACGGATAGATCGACATCGAAAGCCCGAAAGAAGGGGGGAGAGGAAGAGAATGGCGAGAGACGGCGATGAAGGCGCAGACTATGGCACCGAAGTCAGGGGTTGATGTTTTAAGCGATGTAAGTTACAGGCACTACGAATAGCGGTCTCTGGCGCAGATTAGTCGTAATCTGGGTACATTGCACTCTGCAGCGTCTCCATTCTCTCTCTCTTTTCGTCTTTCTTCCTCTCTTTCTCTACCTCCTCTGTTAACAAACGCGTCTCTCTCTTCTTCTCTCTCGCTCTCTTTCTCTCTACCTCGATGTACGCTCTACACACAGTATATCCTTCGGTCGTACGTTCTCATACACTCGAACATCGACTTGGGACGACCTCCGTCGATGCAGACGTACCCCAACTCGGATAGACAGACGCTATCGTCGTTCGCTTGATTATTTCCCGGCCACTTCGACAGAAGAAGATTCTCTAGTGTTCATCCCCCTATCTCTGCTGGCTTTGTAACCACGAGATTACCGCAATCGCGACAAATGTTATACCGAATAACGGATTTACGAGAGATCTTCACCGAAGCGAAATTCCCATCTATTTCGATTTTGATATTCTTCCGGAATAATCCGATATGGTGTTGGATATGGTAAAATTGGAAAATTTACGGTCCCCAGGAGTCGTATAAAAAGTCGCGCCGATATTTGATATAACTCGAAAATTCGAAATTGATCCTCTTAAAACGACACTTTTGACGTGCGGCACTTCATTCTTTTCTTCGCAAAGATTTCATTCACGACGTAATTCATAAAAGCCATGGAAAAGTTCCAAAGTTATTTCAGAAGATGCAGGTCGGAAATTTCAATATTACCGCGCGCGATAACTATAGCAACAATCCGAGGTATCGAACAAACCGCGCATACGCTTTGGTTGGATTCAATATCGAAGACATAGCTCGCCGTGCGGAAAAAATATCCGTCCGAATGTCTGAAGAAAAGCAAGATAAAGAAAGTAAGAAGGTGGTCGAGAGGGTAATTTCTCTGAAACGTGGTGATGTCTTTAAAAACAAAGTGGCCGCAGATAATATTCGGTAATGCATCCGCCATAGAAATAATAATAGTTTAATGATATTCATAACAACGACGTATAGATTCATTGTTATATATGAAATGATAATGATTATTTCGTTAATATTTCAGCAAGGAAATGAACTTCCTCGAAGGCCTGTCGCGACGGTTGTGGCCGCAAAAGTACGAGCACCTGACCGGGCAATTTTTCAGCCAGGTACTTTAAAAACTCTGTCGGTTGGCGAGCCACGCACGGCAGAAAAAAAAAAGAAAAAGAGTACACGAGTCGCAGACGAATTTCAATGTGGCCGTTGGTGTCACTGACCGTAGGTGCTGGCGGAGGAATGCAGAAAAGCGGGACTTCCGGCGAACACTTTCGAGCGTGACCCGCCGGAAGACGCGGCCGAACATTCGCCGATCCCTTTGAAAGCTTCACCAACCTTCCCTAGGACGACATCCGCCCAGATCGGCCATCGTTCATCTCGCACAGAATACAGCCTGGAATTCGTGGGCCGTCTCTATATCTCGCCAAGATGGACGATCGATCCTCCCGTGGAAACCGCAGAATTGCGCGCGACGCAACAAAAATTTATTTTTCTAGGTTGAAAGAAATCTTGATCATCCACACGGAAAGAACGGTTGTGCTGAAGTATTTAAGAATTTAACTAGATATACAGATTTGAAAATAATTTTGTTGGACCATCAAAATAATTATGTAGAACACTCAAATTGATTGCTTAAAATGTCAACAATTTTTTACAGCGTTATCATCATACTTCAGTGACCTACTATAATTATTTTGATGGTGCAACAAAATTATTTTCAGATCCGCATCTAGCTAAATTTTTATAGATAGTATCTTTATCAAAACCGTTCTTTCCGTGCATAAATGGCGTATCAATATACATTTGAAATTGTGTATGGTTTTTTGTATAGTTTTTTTAACGAGCAAGTAAGAGGATAGAAAAATAATCTGCGTTATTATAATTTATTATTCTAATAATATGTAGTAATATTTCAACACGCTTTCTGTGGTGGCGATATTCACTGATGCCAATATAATACTGAAAATCTATAATATAGTGTACGTGACGTAAACTATAGATTTTCAGTACTGGCAGTGAATATCGGAACGCAGCCAATATTTCAAACAGATATCCTTACATTTTCTATCTTTTCGTGTTAAATATTATTAGCAAAAATAGCTTTTGCGCGAAACTATTCTGAGATTGTATTAAAATAGTTTAAGATAAATCAATTATATCATCAACTTAATTATATCATTGATTTAATTGTACCATTATAAGTGCTAAAACCCGTTGACCTTGCGTGAATTTTCATAGTCATCAAGTGACCAAGACTAATTGAAGAATATTGACATTAACGACAGTTTTTAGTTCATAAAAATTTCATAGAAATATATAAATATAGTATTCCGTAGATGTATACATTTACGGAATTATAAAACATTAAAATTATAAATATTAAAATTAGTACCTGCTACCATATAGATTAAATCTAAAACAGACTATCCGAATTTACGTATGATTAATGTATAAAAACTGTTGACAATATCAAGCGTACATGGAAAAAAAAGATTAGCTACTGTAGCAAATTTAATGACACCTAATATTTTTTGCAGCGAGAGCTATAATTTAGCAATAGTAGCAAAACCTTTTGTTCTCGCTGCAAAAAATGTTAGCCTGTCCCTATTTTACAATTAAATTTGCTACATAGTAGCTAATCTTTATTTCCCGTGGATATGAGTGCAAAATTCTCGAAATATAAAAAATTATTGCGATTCTCAAAATACTGAAACCATTGACATAGACTTTTTATCGCAGCAGTTACTTAATAAAAGATAACATTCGATAGCATTTTAGCAACTGCTAGAAATAGTCGAAATAATGAATTATGCGAAATAATCAGCTAATTTATAAACGCACATATTTGATAATATGCGATTCGTATTGGAGAAAGAATGTAATATATATGTGTGAAGATAATTTTAATCGACTGTAGCATACACTGTTAAATATTAAAGAATGGAATTTAAGCCAATACCTTGGATTAAATAACATTATGTTATTTTTGTAGCTTTTTACAAAACAATAGATATTATTTTAACTCTATTGCTTTAGTTAAATTATTGAAATATTGAGTAGCAGTGACGACTTATAGGAATGGTTAAAAATGACTTAAATTGAGTATAATTGGACACTACGAATCAATATACAATAACAATGTAGCGCGATATTCAATAAATTATAGAACATCCGATGCTTTATGGAAAAGCATTTGCGATAATTTCTCGCGCGCGAAATTCATTTTTAGATAATAACCATTGCGGGAAATATCGAACGATTTGAACATAAATCTGCGATCGTCGCATTGCGTTCCAGCATTCGAAACGATTACTGCGATTCTCGACGTATCGAAAAGTCGAAGCATCGGCCACAAAATGGCCGCCGTTATACTTCGCGGAAAAGTAAAATTCAAAATATCTTCGGCGAACACTAGAAATAGCCAAAATAGCGAGTCATTATGAGAAATATAATTGGCGCAGTTAATTATGGAACAAAAATGTGTGCACGTACCTTGCGATAATTATCCGTGTCGATGAAATACGCGACGAGGGCATGACCGATGGACTCCATGTACAGCAAATCACCAACGTCGAAATCACATAACAACAACTTGACACGCTCGATACGTTACTCGACAGAAATTCGGATTTCACGCAAAGCACTCGCAATAATTATTGGCGCACGAAAATCACTTTGAGGCAACAAAGATCGCGGGAAGTGCGGAGCGGATTCGAAAGCGCGGCTCGGCGATCGCCGCGTTTCTCAACTGACTGCGATTCGAGAACTATCGAAGAGCCATCTCGCGAATCTCGAAGTTAACGGGCGATCGAGGCAGCGACAAGCGACAAGATGGCCGTGTAATTACTTCGCGGAGAAATAAAATTACATATGTATCTTGGCGAACGCTTAAGCGAATGGTCGGAAGGACGAATTATTACGAGAAAGATAAATCGGCGCAATTAATGGCAGGACGAAAATGTGCACGTACTTGTGGCGACGGTCGTGCGCCGTTTTGGCGAATAAATGTCGCGGGAAATGCGTAGCGGATTCGAACGCGATTCAGCGATCGCCGCGGCGCGTTTCTTAACTGACCGCCCGCGCCGTTCGCGTTCGCGGCGAGCCACTATCGAAGAGCCATCTCGCGAATCTCGGAGCAACCGAGTGGCCAAAGCAACGACAAGATGGCCGTAGTTATTTCGCATGAAAAAAAATTCGAAATATGGGCCGGTTTCATCAACGTCGATAAACTGCAACCTTCGATTGAACTCACTCTTCGTTTCTTTTTAAGAGGGACAGTTAGGAAAAAATAAGAGTGAGTTTAATCGAAGGTTACAGTTGATCGATGTTGGTGAAACCGGCTCTATATCTTTTAATAAATATATTAGAAATGGATGAAGTAGCGAATCGCTATGAGAAATGTGATTAGCGCAGTTTAACTATAAAATGAAAACTCACACGCGTTTTGCAATAATTATAGAGTTTAAAATCACAAAAACAGCTGAGGTAATTATCGAATACGAGGATATAATTTTTACAGAAAGCACTCGCGATAATTATTCGCGTACAAGATTCGTTTTTAGACAATAAAAATTGCAGAAAATGTGGAACGGATTCGAATGCGACTCTACGGTTGCCGTGTGGCGCGTTTCGAGTTTGTTTTATAATAGAAACTAAATTCGAATTATTTTAATTATTATTAAGTGATGCAAGAAATAATGAATTATTACAAGAAATTTATGGCCTAGTTTACACCGATCTCTTGATACGCGTATCAAATAGTATATTTCAGCTGATCAGCCAATAATCAAATTAATTTACTAGTTATTTACTATTTAATATCAAGTGATTGGTTTAAACTAGCCCAATCAGAACTATCGGATATGTTGGAAACAAGATCGAAATATCGAAATGGCACGTTCGAAATAGCGATTTCCAGTCGTAAAATTTAATGTAAAAATAAAATGAAATAATTGATTATTATTATTATTAATAATAATATGTCATATTATTATACAATATTTACATGCCGAAGAATTTTTGTTTTAGCGTGGGCGGTAATTTCTCCAAGAGCGAAGTAGGATTTACTTCTACCGCAACCAATTCTTCGTCGTTCAACCAATTTAAGTAGACGAGATGCTGCAAATATTAAAATCACAATTCTTTCTTTTTCTCTTTCGCACTATCAATTATTTAAAACAGATACTTAACAGTTCTAATTAACAATGTTACCTTATATTTCTTGGCAACTTGGAACGTATGTTGAGAGCTGTACTGTGAGCTGGAAATTGAATTGCTATCTTCTGCGTTTTCTCCATTTTCACGCTTAGGAATCTTCGCTTCTTTATCTAATAATTCACTATTTTTATTGATAATATATACGCTCGAATCGTCCTGCATGATTATGATATTTTCGTTGCGCGGATCGAATATGATGTTCGTTATCGGGAATGGACGCGCTAGCCATTGCTTCGATAATCGATGTTGCAAGTTGTTAGAAAACTCTGTGTAGGTCTTCGTAGGAATATTATATTCGACGATCTGAAAATCAATTATCGTTTGCATAATTATCAGTAACAAGAACATCTTAATATCTTGAAAAATTAAGAACATCAATATTGTACTCGTTCCAAGATATTAATTTTAGAATTGCTGTTTCCAGTCTTTCACTTTAGATCATATGGATTTTTTTAACATGCCTCATTGTACGTCTTAAAATTTAGTACTGCCCATATCAAAAGGTAATAAACTGTAGGACTTCATAAAGTCTGTACGAACGGATAATTCAATAACGGAATTATAGAGGTAATTACGTGTAACGTCGTCGCGTAAAAATAAAACCACAGTAGCAGTTAACAGTAAATTGTGAATTTTTACTGCCGCAAGTCATTAACGTTGTACAGTATTTTACGATGGTACATATTCGAAGTCGGTCATTATTTTAATGTCGACGTATAATGCGCGATGCGCGTATTACTCATTTTAAATCGTTGTATATGTAGCACGCTATATTTACCTTATGATCGGAATACACTATGACCAGATTGAGTGTATTCTTCTGCACGGCGATTGCCGTCGGTGGACAACTGTACTTGGGCAATTGCCATGCCTTGAGCGATTCTGCCGTTACACCGTCAGCGATAAAATACACGGCGATTCCGCGTTGTCGGTCCGCGCATACGAGATACCTGTTGTCTGGAGAGAAACAAACGAGACCAATATTTTTAATGGATTCCTTCGTCGTCTGGAACGACCCAATCAGACTCAAACTCTTTTTAGCCACTTTGAACAGCGTTACAGTGTTCTCACTGCCATCGTTGTTAATAGCGACAAATAACTTGCCGTTTGGACTGAACAACATCTTTTGTATTCGGTTCATGGACAAATCGGTATCGTTTCTAGACAGCTGAGCATCTCCTTCCACCACGTCAAAGTTGAACACTCTGACGTGAGTGTCTGTCGAGTACACGATTGTCTTAGAGTCCTTGTTAATAGCGCAAGAGATGATGCTTTCGTCACCCTTGGTCTGTAATTGTAACAGTTTTATAGGTTCTTCGTCTAATTGATGCAGCATGGAGGAGCGTACTAATTCTGGAGGATCTTTAGTGGCCGAACCAAGTCTCCATAGCTCTAAATAGTTTGCGTACCGTAACAAAATACATCTAGATTTTCGGCAAATTATGGCACAGGGCGGTTGCAACAGCGGAGGATATTTTACAAGATTCTTTGGTGGGTAACTGGACACAGCAAGGTACCCGTCTACTCCAGCCGAATAGAGTTTTCCGCTAGCTTCTACGAGTGCTCTGACGTCGTGAACGTGTAACCTTCTCTCGATTCCTTTCACCCATTGAGGCTTTCCACTTGATTTTAGAATAACTTTGCAGAAGCTCCTCACAACTGGGTCTACACCCGCACAATATACCACATTCATGTCATGCGACAAGGTAATAGATAATATATCCGCTGTATGGCTTTCGTGAGACTCTATTAGGACTCCCATTTGTGGATCCCAGAAGCATAAGAAGCCGTGAGAATCGCCGGATATTATTATATTGTCATCAGTGACTGCGAGGCACCAAACTATCGTGGTTTTCTTGATATTGCTTCTGGAAGTTGTCATTTTATGTATCGCATGTCCAGATATGGCACTCCATACCCTGATGGTGTCCGTGGAACCTGTATAAATCATCTCGCCCGTGTTATCCCACTTGATACACAAAATTCTGCCTTCCTGCTTATCAAATATTCTCTCATAAATCAGTTTATTTTTATACACGGTGAAAGTATTGATGTATCCGTCCTCCGTGCCAACAGCCAAGCGAGTCTTTTCTTGGTTCACATCCATGCACCAAGCTGCTCCTCCTATCACCATGGCTTGGTGCTTGATACTCAGCGTTTTTAAATCATACTCGACTATCGCACCCTGTAGACCTGTCGAAAACAGCCTAGAATCGATCCAGAGGATGCTTTCCACCGAGTTCTCAGCATGACCGGCTATGGTACACTCAACAAATGGTGCGTTCTCTACATTCCAGATTTCTATAGAATTGTTGTTCCTTCAGAAAGGAAAAAGGAATTAGAAAGTATTCGCAAAAAATTCACGCGCGTGATAAAATCACGCGTTTACCACATAAATGTTAAATGTAAAGTCATAAATAAATGTGCTGTCTAACCTTGCCAGGGCTAACTTTTTCGTTTTTGATTCGTGACACAAGCAGGTCACCGATCTCGGCTCCAGGTTGTAAAATCTTATGTTGTGTATACGATACGAAGCCATAATTAGATGTTTATTCTTATAATTAAATCTAATTTCACATACAATCGAATATATTTGATGCGCCTATACCAAACATAACCATAATTGTCACGCACGTGGATGGAGCAACATGAAAATATGGTATTATGGTAATGTCTCCATCGTCTCCATTGGGTAGAGCAGAGAGAAACCTGACCGGCACATGGTTCATATGTATATAGTCGAGATTGTCGGGGTCCTTGTCTAACTCATCTTTAATTTCCATATAATTTAGGCCTGTTTAGGCTATATAGAAGTGTGAACTTTAATTTTAGGCAATGTAGCAGTTTGTATTTTAAACTTCTAAAATGTAAGGTGATCGACCTCAATGTCACACCTCTTTAATTATCTAAGACTCCAGCCATAGAGCCGAGATGAGAGACAGATGAGATGAATAGATGAGTTAGACCAAGTTAGACAAGGACCGACAATCATCTCGATTCTGAGTTTGGACATGAATGATAGCATGGACACAAACCACGTATGTATTATTACCGAGCGAAACGACGTTGATTTGCACTTTCTCAGATAGCGCGTTGAAAAATGCATTTTCAGAAAGAACAATAAAGGAATGGCCGCTCTCAGGTTTCTCTCTGATGGTGGCAACATTCTCGATGAACTTCGTAATGTATTTCTCTCAACTTTTGTTTATTTCTTATCGAAATATATTTTCCTGATAACTTTGACGATTTATTTATATTATATATACATTATTTTGCACGTATATAATTGTAATTGAAATAATAAATATTAAGAAGTTACAAATAATCTATATATAAAATTTGATTTTAAATTGTTTAGAGAGAGAGAGAGAGAGAGAGAGAGAGAGAGAGAGTATTCCATTTAACATAATTTATATTTTAAAATTTTTACGTTATTTATATTTTATCGATATTTAATATCTAATTTATTATTATTAATATACAATTTTAATATTACATAATAATAATAATATATAATTTTTCGAATATTTTCTGGATTAAATTCAATCTTTTTATCTTATAGTACATATATATATATATATATACACACTATTGTTAATTTTTCTATTTTCATGGCTTTTATTTTGTAGGTATGCGAACTTTCCATAGTCGGTAATAAAATAATGATTTGATAAGAGGTAAAATGGAATTTATTCACGGTTGGACGGCTTTAATAAAATCGCATCGGTGCAATCTTGTTTTGAATTATTAATTCTTTCTTACTCCTTACTTCGACTGTTAATATTACCGAGGCGACGTTAACGCGTAACGAGTTTTTTAGGCCACATACTAAAGGGCAGTATTTATAGTCCAATCTTATATTTACGATCGTCTTAAGTACGATCTCGAGGTGCTATCGCTGAAATGATACTGAAATGTGCGTCAACGTTCCGAGAGAAATAGACACGTACTGTAATTTCATCCTCGTACTATAATTTCAGTTTACATCGCGATTCAGGGCCACTATTTGCAACGTCTGTTAACTTCTAACCGACTGTTAACTTTCGAAATCGCCAACTTTTATTGCAAGTTAGAAGTTAACAGCTGATGTTGCAAATAGTGGCCCTCCGAGTTTTACTATTTCTCGCATTCGCGTGAACGTTCTTCCTCAGTTCGCAGAAGAAAAATCCGGCCGGAAACGTTCGGGGATTTTTCGTGCGCGGTGCGAAAATGCAACGTGGACGAAGATGCGAGCAACACGCAAGCGCTCCGGCGCGGCACTCCCCAAGTGACCCAAGTCCCCAGACCTGCGGCCCACTTCGCGTCGCTCGGATTCGGCATCGGCGGCGCACTTCAGACACTTCAGTGACTTCAGTCGAAACGCGATAACCCGGAATCGGAGGTTGGCTATCGGGTGTTTGTGGGTGTTTGTGTCACGGAGCGTGAGGTCGTGAGGTGCGATACGTGCGACTGCGTCGTCCGACTTCCGAGTTAAAATAGCAATCGTCCGCGTCTGGTCGCGCTACGCTACAGTTTTACGTGCGCCCACAGCAGCTAAAACCCAGTGGCACGGCGAGTAAAACGGGGTCCCGCGCGTGAAACGAGGTAAATACACTCATCATCCGCATCATCATGTGGTATTCGGCAGGACGGCGATTATCGATTACGACTATTTACAGAATATTCCAGATAGGACGACGGGTGACGCATCGAATCGTGTGACGTATTTACCCTCTCGCGTCGTCCCTTGCCGGAATACGGCCTCGCGCGAGTCCCTTCAATTTGCTGCACGTTCGCGTGCGTTGGCGTGTGTTCGGTATAAGGAAACGCCGACCCATAATACAGTGCCGGGCACTGTAATCACGGTGGATTATACCGCGGCTCGATGATACGCGTGACCTTGCCGTCGTGAAAAATCGATCTGGACGGGACGGCGTACCGTCGTGTCGTTGCGTGCGTTCGAACCGTTCGAAACGTTCGAACCTCCTCGAGACGTTCTTTTATCTTTTTTTTCAAATAACAATCGGGAGTCGTCGCGTCTACTTCATCGAGTATTGATGCTTATCACGGATGAATAATACTGAATATGTATACATATGCATACACGCGCAAACTCGCATGTACACACATTCGTGTATCCGTATGTTAGTACGCGCGCGCATCTGCCCGTACATTTTCCAGGAAAAGTGACAACACGTATTACAGATTACAGATCGTTGTTAAATCGCGATTACCGCGACGAGATATATATTACGTGTTATCTAGAAACGACGTTTAGTCCTAATCGTTCTAATATAGCGGCGAGGAACGAGGAGAATACGCCCTGCGAACATATTCGGTAAATTGCAAATTTGCTGCTTCGCTTCGCGACTTAAATTATTGCGTTTTCGCGAGTAACCATGCGAAATCTCTTTGCATCATCGCTTTTGCATCACTGTCGTAAACATTAAGCTCCGACGCTTGCTACAAAGTACAACATCTGAAGTGATAAATACTGCTTATCAAATGTCTATTCCGCGTGTGTGTGAATCCTCTTCTTTTTATAGACCGAACAGTTGATGCGGACGTGTTAATATTCATCTCGTATTCATGCCTGTTACTAACTGTGTGTAATTGAGATAATTAATTTGCTGGGTCCTTCGCCTTCATTTCTAATATATCATCACTACCAATTGTTACAGTATAATAACGACATGCTCACAAAATTATTTGGCGAATGTTTATTAATGAGTCATTGATTGACAAATTTTTCTGTTTGTTGTGATTATGAGTAATTATATGTCAGTTTCACATCGTGTCACTCTTTATCTCTTTCCTTGATAAGAGAGATAAAATTATTCAGTACTGAAAGACAATAAAACTGCAAGTACTGAAATATAAATAAAATTGAGATGATCTAGATACTTTTTATAGGTTATAGACTTATGTATGACTCAGAGGTTCTACGTTAAGTGGGGACAAGTATAGATTTTTTTCAGATATTTGTCCATGACACTCCTTGAAAGCGTAAAACCTTAATATCTTTAATTCTGTTGGGTATTTAACATTGTGCTTCTATATTTTTTACTCTTTATGAGCACTTTTTGTATAAGAAAACAATAAAGAGTATAATGTAATTAATATAAACTAAAAGATACAAGATTTTAGATATGTAAATTATAGTAAAACTTTCTTCAGGAATATATAACATTTATTTTTTAATGAAAAAACTAATATGTTTTTATTGTTTTTATATTACGGCGATTTATTTGCTTTTTTAAATACAAAATATAAGTAAAATAGTATAATATTGATGTAAAAGTAAAGGATAAGTTTACTTTTAATAATTCTACATATTACACATTTTTAAGGTTGCCAATGCACATTTGTTGATCGGAGTTCCATTGATATTCTTTTTTTTTCCTCAAAGAAGGCCTAGTTATAATAATAGGTTCTTTTTCAGCTAAAACAAAACCAAAAGATGACAACTTGGCAAGCACCTGGTGCGGGGTTCTATCCAGGACAAGGTTCTGATCTTTTTCCTTCCGTTTTTTAATATATATTTTTTTATTACTATATTTTATTATGTTAACTGTGTTATATTCGGGGTCCATATCAAAAGCCATTCAATCAGCAGCTAGTATAATCATTTGCTTAAAAGGATATATCATTCCACCCACATTCGAAAGCACACTGTTCATATAATGATTATTTGTAGTCAACAATATTTGAGAGTAAAGCAAATTTATCAATTCTGCAGTAACATGTTGACATACTGATTGTCATCATTGACATGACTCTACAGTTCATATACTCATGTAATACAGCAGCAAATTATATCAAGCATAATCTGCAAGTGTCATGAAGAAGCCAATTGCGCACACAGTCATGGAAACTTAGTTTTATACATAAAACACTCACTATGTAAAAGTAGTGGCTGCTGTTACTGCACAGAGTTCCTCAAATTGTTACTGCTTATCGAGGTCACATGCGCATTATATTGGAACGTCAATAATATTTAAGTTTCTCAAATTTGACTGTGCAGGTCCATATCCGTATCCTCAACAGAATCCTGGGTACCCGCCACCACAGGAAGGCTACCCATATCCTCAACAACCAGGATATCCACCGCCTTACTCCGGTGGAAATCCACCAGGTAGATATACATATAATTCAAGAATGTTATTTAAAACACCTTAAGGCTGCGTTTCGATATTCACTGCAAATACTGAAAATCTATAGTTTACGTAACGTACCTACACTATAGATTTTTAGTACTGGCAGTGAATATCGGAACGCAGCCTAAATTAATGCAGTTATTTGCTCATCGAGCTTACTATTTTTTTTTTATAGGTCCAGGATTTATACCTCCACAGGGTCCACCATACGGTGAAGCGCCGCCGCCAGTTGGTCCAGGATTCGGAGGGATACCTCCACAACATCCAGGGATGTACGGGTCCGGTGCTTATGCGGAAGATCCTATGCAGGATGAGATCAAAGGATTTGAGTTTAATGACAAAACTATCAGGAACGGTTTTATTAGGTAAATATCAGATATCATTCTTAAAAGAACTTGGTCCATTTTGGACTATCCGGGCCTAGTCATCAATCATATATAATTTTGTAAATAATAATAATATTAAAGAAAAAATAGTTCTAGATTTTCAAACCTCCACCAGAAGCAGTTCTGACCTCCTAATGACGTCATTTCATTCGATGGCTCATCATCGAGAGCTGTTCGGTCAAAATTGCTTCCGGCAGGGATTTGAAGATCTAAAACTATTTTTTCTTTAATACTACCATTATTATCTACAAAATTATACATGATTGATGACTGGGACTGATGGATAGCCCAAAACCCTTATGAAAATGGGCCAAGTTCTTTAATGTGCTTCAAAATATATGATGTGAGCATATACATAAATATATATTCTTCTTTTATAGGAAAGTGTATAGCATTTTGATGTGTCAGTTGGTCATCACTCTTGGAATGATTAGCCTGTTCCTTTATCATAAACCGACACAGCAATGGGTTATGAGACACTCAGAAGTATTTTGGATCGCTTTCGCCATGACTATTGTTCTGATCATATGTATGGCTTGTTGTACCTCTGTGAGACGTAAAGCTCCGATGAACTATATATTCTTGTTCCTATTTACATTGGCGGAGGCTCTCCTGATGTCTGTAGCTGCATCAACGTACAAATCGGAAGAGGTAAGTTGTTACAATTTTAATTCCACTGTATAGATGTGTTGGAATAACTCGTGTACTACATTATTATGTAAGTTATAATATGTAACAAACTTGATGTCTCTACATTGAAATGCTTTTGCAGGTCATGCTGGCCGTTGGAATTACAGCAGCGGTTTGTCTAGGATTGACGTTATTTGCATTTCAGACAAAAATCGATTTTACCGGATTGCACACTGTCTTGTTTGTCGCTGTGCTCGTCTTAATTATTTTCGGTTTTATCGCAATGATCTGGCCCGGAAAAACTATGACTTTGGTTTACGCCTCGCTCGGCGCACTAATATTCTCTATGTATCTGATTTACGATACGCAAATGATGATAGGCGGAAAACATAAATTTTCTATCTCACCGGAAGAATATATCTTTGCCGCGTTGAGTTTGTATCTTGATGTCGTCAATATCTTCCTGTACGTTTTAGCTATTATTGGCGCTTCGCGAGACTAATTGATGTCAATTATGATGTTTTGACTTGTGTTACAATTACTAAAGAATACACAGTTTTTACTTACCGCCGTCCTGCTCTGGCTCTCCACAGTTATTATTCTGAGAGCGCACTGTAGGCGAATAAACAATGAAGTACGAAGGGGCATGTATTGGCAAGTCTTTAATTTCTACGAAGATAGCTTTTACAAATTTTCAAAGATTAATATACACGAACAGCACACTTATATTCCAAGTCTTTTTTCTAGGTCTATAAGGCATAACAAAGTTTTTCCCATCGTTTTGGGGAGAAAACCAAATATAAATTCGTGTAATTGCTAATGTGTAGAATAGTATGTCATTATCATTATTATTATTATTATCATTATCATTATCATAAAGATGATTAATGTTGTTTCTTTGTCTGTATCATTTTGAGTAATCATCACCAGAATCGTTTATTAAGAAGCAAATAGTCAAATTATAATTTTATGATTTTCTTATTTCTTTAAAGGACTTGGATTTTTCCAAGGTAATCAATGAATGTACACATCTAATTTAAAAGTACGTAAAAGCGATTATTAATATAATTGTTATAAATATATGTCATAGTGTGATAAAAATCCAGCATTAGTTATAGTATTATATTATCTGGACTTAGCTGTAACTCCAGGCAACCTCAAGAGATGCACCTTGTTGCCTATACATACATATATATATACATATATAGGAAGTTGAGATTGTGTTTATTCTTTGTTCATATTTGAATAATAAAACAAACGATTACTTCTCTCGTATTTATAACCTTTTTTTTATTCCAGATAACAGTGTAGATAATAGTATGTTGCGATTTGCGATTCTTTGTCGACAAACATGTTGACACTGTTACTCATGATAAGACAATTTCCATGTAATGTTACCTACCATGACAATTCTATATATAACGTCATATTTGATGCGACTTAAAAAAAATAATTAGATGGAATAATCATTACCAATACTTTCTACTTTAATAGCATTTTTTAAAAAATTAGAAAATCTATTTTAAATCATATACATAGTACATATTTCTGCCTTTAATGCTCACATAAAAAAATGTCTACATATAATTTATTTTTTATTTACTTGTCTGCAATTTTGCGTCTACAAAAGCTGTAGATTCATTCTACGTAGGGTATATATATGTGCGCGCGCGCATGTGTATCAGTGTGTGTAACAAATAAAAACGACAAATTCGAAATTGCGAATATTTATATTTATAGTAAATCGGCCGTACACAAAACGGTAGAAGCTTTTGGTTTTAAATTCTCCCTAACTTAATATACAAATAAGCATGTGTGGTGCGATTATTCACGTAGGAAAGCGTCCAATGTCCAAAAAGATTATCAAGATTGAAAAGCCGACACACTCATACTCACACCACTCAACTTGGTAACAAATTGCAGCCTCGTAACAAACAACTTTTTTGTCCGTGCAACGATGCAATGTTTTACATGAAGCATGAAGGATTTCACCAGTGAAATCTGTGTTTCTCTTACCATCCACACAAACTTCCGTAAAGAAATTTTGTTTATATATCACACGTACAGTTATAGGTACAGTTACATATATCCATAAAACTGCGCGCGTAATTTTATACCTATTGACATTTATATAGGTATAATTAAAAAACCTAACTTTTTAAATTATTGGATCAGCTAACAATTTTTTGTTAGCAATATATGTTTCGATTGCAGCATAAAAAAAATTGTATTTTTATCAGATCAAAGGTGAGATTGGATTATACCTGATCAGGCAGTGTCGTGAAGTGTTTCTGTTATTATGCTTTTTAAGTTACGCTCTAAATCTATATCGAGGGATCTATCCCAAGTGGCACGAGCTGATATATAGTTCGTTATGCGCCATTAAAATAAATAATATATAAAATTAGCAGCACCGATTCGAACTTCTCTCTACCCTTCGATCGACCGTCACTCTGTCGGGCGCGTCTTGTGGTTCCTTGCCGTGAGTCTTGTCCAATATTGCTTCCGCTAGTTCGCTAAATGCTCGATCGATATTAATATTCGCCTTCGCCGACGTTTCCATAAATCTAATGCCATGTTCTCTCGCTATCTATAAGCAAGAAAAAGATTTTGTTTGAAGAAACCATGCTTGAAGGGACAAAAAGGTTTTATCGCGTTGCCCGTAATACACTAAAAGTTATGTATAAAATATTTACCGCTTCTCCCTTTTCTGTACTGACAACGCGTTTTTCTTCCATATCACTCTTATTTCCTAATATCATTTTCTCCACATCTTCATTTGCATGCTATAAGAAATATTTATGGAAATTATTGTTACATGTTTGTTTTAATAAATGTACAAATAAATTTGTGAATATATGGAGTTAAACTATACTTACTTCATCGATATTCCTCAACCACTTGACAATATTTTCAAACGTCTTTTCATTAGTGATATCGTACACAAGCATAATCCCCATAGCCCCTCTGTAATATGACGTGGTAATAGTGTGGAATCTCTCTTGCCCAGCTGTGTCCCTGCAGATAAAGAAGCGCATAAATAACACAGATAAGTTGAAACATACACCTGACGACTCACCATATCTGTAGTTTGATTTTCTTTCCTCTTAATTCCACTGTCTTGATTTTAAAATCGATACCTAAGAGAGAACAAAAACACAGTTTTACTCTTATATTCCATTAAACAAAAAGATAAAATATTTTAAAATATCTAGAAACTACATATATTTTATGCATAATTATTATCAAAAATTCGACACATTAATGGAAAGTTTATAGTTTTTACTTTTTATTCCCACAAAATCATCTTTTGTGTAGATATATATATATAGAGAACGAGAACAACTTGTATATTATTTATAAAGTTAGTTACATCCTTTTTGCAACTTATGCAACGATGATATTTATGCTCCGAACGGATGTGTGACCCCGCTAAAACCTCGCGAAAACAAAGCGCACCGATTGCTTTTTGCTCTCAAAGAAAAAACACGCTGGTAATTACATCCTGATCGCCGTGCGTATGTACGACATGCACGCACGTGTGTGACTGTGTGACTCTCGCACACGGAAACGAGGCAGGCTCGGCGATCGGCTCGATTGCCGTCGATTGGGTCGGATTTTATGGAACGAGGCGCGACGGCCGTCCGTAATTCGCACAATCGAGGTGTCGCATTCTAACCTAATCGCCGGGCAAGGAAAACGCGAGTCAGGCTCGCGTCGTCGACGAGAGAAGCCTCCGCGACTTTGCCGGCCTCTTCGATCTCGTATTCTCGTATTCCCACTTTTTCCCTCGCTCTCTCTCTCTCTCTCTCTCTTGTTTTCTCACCTATCGTGGAAATGAACGTGGTGGAAAAGGCATCGTCCGAGAAACGGAAGAGTATGCAGGTCTTGCCGACGCCGGAGTCACCGATGAGGAGCAGCTTGAACAGGAGATCGTAGGTTTTCTTCGCCATTTCGTCGCCGAGGCTGGCCCGCGTCGAGGAGTAGGCGCCGCGGCGGAGCGGAGGAAGTAAACAGAGTAAAAGGAGCACGGGGGCACGAGCTTGGTTGCGGCGGTTGGAGCTGCGGTGGCTCGCGGTCGGAGCGGCTGGTTTGGTTGTCGCGATCAGCAGTCAGCGGCAGCGACGATGCTCCGTATACATCGAACGTTACGCACCGGTTATAGTCGCTCAAGGTCGAACGAGGGCGCGTCTCCCGACTCTCCCGACGAGCTGCGACGTACAAGTATATACGTGTGTGGACGCCGCGGACGTATCGTGCCGTATCATACGGGCGAACCGGTCGCGGTTCGCGGTGAGGCGGCGGACTATTAAAAGACGGCGCGACGTCACGCGACGCGGACGGCGGCGCGGGCGGCGGAGTCAGTCGGCGGACGTCAACACGACGCAGAAGCCATCGGGGGTAGACGCTAGACGCGGGGTGACTTTCGGCTCGGCACTCGGCACGCTCGCTCGATTTCTCCTTCTCTTTCTCTTTTTTTCTCTCTTTGTCTCTCTTTCTCGCTCGCTCCCTTTCTTTCTCTCTACACGGCGTTCGCTATACTTCGGACTTCGGAGCTCGGCCGACCGACAACGTGGAGATCGAGCGACGATCCGGTGTTACCGGCTGAATGAGAGTGCGACTCGCCGCGGCGTCGGTCGGCGCCGTCGGCCGTCGGCGGTAGAGACCCTCGAATTAGGCCTGAACAGAAGCTGATTTATAATTTTAAGACGATGTTTAAGGCATTGTCTTTGGTGACGCACAATACACTGCCTTATGTCTCAAATGTCTCTTAAACGTGTGTACAAAGAGTCAACGTTTGTAAGACTTAAGCTGCATTCGGGGAGCGCGCTATTAGCGCTATTTGCTTATTCTATCCTTGTTTTACATTTAATGAGCGATAAAGATAGAATGATACAATAGCGCTAATAGCACGCTCTCCGAATGCAGCCTTAAATTGAGACACAAGACGGTATTGCGCGTTATTTAAAAACAAAGATTTTTAAAGTATAAAACGTCTTAAAATTATAAGTCAGTCAGTCATATATATAAGTATCTTTCTCTCTTGCAGAATTTTGCAGAAAATCGCCTTATGGTCAGACTCTAATTCAAGGATCTCTAGTCGGCGGTCTGAAACTGCAGTATATATGTAATGGTATTCTTTATTCGACGGGATCCTCGCTATCGCGAGGGATCACTTATCTACGCCGATTGTGCGCGTCAGCGAGGGGAAAGGTTGGGCGTTCACGCGTAATCTACATCTACGTATGTACATACAATGTTAACTATGTTTAACGTGTCATCTATGGAAATAATAAGTAATGAGAGGATCATGGAAGAGAGAAAGAGAGAGATTTATATATTTTGTCAGAAATATTGGAAATTTATATATAGGTATTTTGTTTGCAATTTTTGTTCCTGTGCTATTGTTTTAAAAATTAAAAACCTAACAATGCAGGTTTTAAAGATTTTGATTTTGATTTCTGTACAAAAAGAAAATAAACGTTATACATTGTGTGTATTGCAACTAGACAATTTTGTATACTGTTTTTTGTCGTTTAAAAGCTTATAAAAATCAGCGTAAATAATATTATATTAATATTATGCGTTTTTATATCACTGTATTGTTGGTAAATAAATTAAAATTGAAATGCATTTAATCTAATTCAGTTTAAAACTATATACTTTTTATTTTTGTAGGACCGTTTGCAAAAATACAGTTTGAAGAAATCAATTAAATTTATAATGATTAACATTGTTTGTATTTTCTACGTAAAAAAGGTGCTTTTGGAATAGCTATTATTTTGATGTCCGATAACAAAAAATTATATTATGTGACGTTGCCATGTATTTGGTAAAAAATAATATTTTCTCATTAGGGTCTACCTAGGATATTTTCGGCTTAAATTTTATACTGTAAGACTCACGTTTCTGTCTATGATAAATCATATTTTCAGGATTTATAAATTTGCGTGAACATTTATTTATATTTCAAATATTAAACATCAAAAGCGGGCTTTTTTTAGATGTTACGTAGGCATTATGTTAATAATATAAAAAATAATTCGGGAAATACTGATATACGACATATTTTGTTTTCGATGAAGATTAAATTTATATGTTGCTTTTGTGTATGCTTTATAGGTATCCGTATCGGTATGATGTAATGAGAATCTCATTCTCGAATTTCCAATACATATCAAATTGCTTCTTGCTATATCGTAAATTAAATAGTGATTATTCCGCGATTATATTATAGGTACCTACATACAGGATTAATATTTTATTTTAACGCATGGATTTATGCACAGCATATCAGATATGCGTTTTTTACGCTTCGAGATACGTGTTCAATTTCGTGTATTAATTTATTCCGTGTATACAAAACACGCGCATTTATATTCCCATTTCTATCAATGTAAATTAATAACTTTAATCTAATGGTTTTATCAATGCAGTTTCTAGTTCTAATATTCTTATAGAACTAGAAAAAGATAAAAAATAAGTTAAACCGCGATTAAAAGTTAATCTGCATTGATGTAGAAATGGATATTAATTAATCAAATTTCATAATTTTATTTAATACAAATTGTATTTATATAGTTTCAGTGCATACGAGCGTGCCTTCTTGTATTCTCGTTAATTGCCGCGTTAGTTGCTGATATCATATAATTATATATGACATCGACGTAAGCGTAGATTATGACGTTGGTTACTCGATTTCCATGTTTCTTATCAGTTCCGTCGAACAGTAAAGTCATACATATTTAATTGCGGTTCAGACGTGAAAACTCTGGCACATATATTTGTCTTTCCTCGTTGCAATACGCAGCTATATGATATTCGAAGCGTGCTTGTGCGTTGGTCTCGCTCTGCTCTTTCGCAAACATACATACCAAAGATAGCTAACTTGGCCCACGTGGGCGGGAGCTTCCTCCGTCCCCCCTTCGCCGCTGCCTCTGCTCCATGATATACATATTTATTGTCATCGCACGTCTGGGGTATGGTATACGCCTGACGCCTGCTCAAATATCGAAGATAAAAGAGACAAGGAAGAAATCTTATATGAAAGAACTTAGCCGCTAAAGCTAAAGTCTCGCAAGAACTATGTATATAGTTGGACATCAGTTCTTGAAAAAAAAGAGATCTAAGGAAAACGACACTGCTTTTCAGTATTTCTAAATTTACAACATCTTTTTTGAGGTACAAAATCGAGATTTGACCGGCAATAGTATAACTTAACAATGCAAATAAAAATAACGTAATATTATATAAGAATGCGTAATTCAAGATCGATTTTGTAGGGCTGGAGTAGCCGTACCCCAAGGTTTCGCATGAATCAGACATATATATTTTATCACAGGGACTTATATACATTCTCGCATGCGCGCGATTTCTTGTGATGAGAATGCGCGTGACCAATATTCTCAAAAATATCCCACACACATACGTAAATTTTAGTGCTCGGCTCTCTCAGCCGCGTATATATTTTATTACACACTATATATACGATGATTAAAGAAAACTTTAGAAACATTTCTACTTACAATGTTATTTAACTGCTTAAAACATTTATTTATCGTGCCAATTATTTGTACGATATTTCTGCAGTTTCTCTCATTTTTGATGTAACAAAATATAAATCAACTGCGGATATGTAAAGATATAAATTACATTTTTATCATTTAAGAATTTGAGGATATTTACAAGTATTTTTGTGTGTTCAGGAAACTTTATCAGTATATATTCTGACAGAAAACGAAATTATTAAACAACGTGGATGCGCGCATGGAAAACTTCGCTTTAAATCGCTTAATTAATAATTACGAGAAATGACATCAGTAATATGTTAAAATAGATAATAAGATGTTATTAATTCTGAAATAACTTCAATAACGATATATGAACGGTAATAAAAGATGTAAAAATGTGTGTGGTCCCCAATGAGCGCTTCTAGGCACGATACTGTGGAGATGGAGACAGTCACGTGATCGTTCATACGCACGCGCGCGAAAACGGAGCTAGGAGCTAGGATGATCGAATTGGTTCCCACGGTTTGGGAACTGGGAACGTGGGAACACTGACCGCGTGGCCCGCGTCGCCCCGCGTGCGAGTCGTGCGACACTGTTCACAGTACAGTCACAGTGCTCGCTGCTGTGCGCCACGACGACGTGCACTGTGTAGCGTGTACGTATGTCGAGGGCGTTTACGTACGACATAGCAGATCGTAGGTGACTCGAGTGACCGTCAGCGACACGCACGTTGTCGGTCGGTGTCGCGACGAGCTCGGGATCAGCGGAGTCGACGGAACCATGGCAGCTAAGATGCAGCTCCCGTTCGAGCCACCGAGCTCGGCGAGTTCCGAGAGGTATGCGAGAGGACAGTCTTTTCCGTAATTATTGCAGCATATTTTCTTCTTGTCAACGTTTATCGGAAATCAATGAGTATTCCGTTGTATGCTCGTTGAAATTTTCAGTGAAGACGGTGACGTGTGCCTGGACGACCGCGAGATTTTTCTTGCCGACGAGTTGTGCGAGGATGTCGAGCATTACAGGCACTCCGACGTCGGCACGCCGCAATCTCCAAGGCCACCGTCCACAGGTAAATCCCATTTATTGCGGGCTCTCTCGCGAGGCTTCTCAACCTGATATTCCTGAAGAACGACTTTATATCACATGCACGAGAGAGAGTTCGGTTTAATTTCACATGTGGGCAGCGATTTATTTTATTTGCTAGCAAAACCTGTCAGTAGAACCTGTTGGTAGATATCCTCTTATATTGAAGTACCTGATGATAAATTTCTTACATATGTGCAAGTGCATAATTCAGTTTATTTATACGTAGCTGATAAGGAAATGGTCTGTAACAGCTTAAGTCAATTATCCATTGACAATCAATTATCTTAATATAGATTGCATCGGGAATAAAAATATCTTATCAGTGAACGAAATAATTGTAACGAGATAAAATATGAGCTTATGCTTTTATAAGTAACGTATATGAATATAATAGTTTAATACATCTTATATTTAAGTATAGTTTAATACATCTTATATTTAAGTCCTATATAGATGCACTGTTTACAGAATCAATACTCCCATGAAGCTGTACCTGTAAAAGGAAAATCAAACAATCCAATGCCTTAAGTTCCTTAATGAACTCCTAGAGGACAGCCAATACAAAATATATAGAAGGTTCTCTTCTTACCTTTAATCCTATTCCCATTCCTTTTATTAATTAAATCCTTTTACATATCATAAAAAATAAAAAAAAAAGATATATGCATAAGGGATAAAAATAAGTATTGATTATTACTTAGAAATAACAAAGAAAAGTATATTAATATAATTATAACAGGTTCTCAAAAATCACCACGATCACGCAGGCAGCGCACTACTAGCATGTCACAATCAAGTAAGAAGACGTCCGCGGAATCTATTCTCAGGAGCAAAACACGAACCATTTATACAGCTGGTAGACCGCCTTGGTATAATTCGGCTGGTCAACAAGTAGAACCTTTTGTAATCGGTTAGTAATATTTATTATTAATTTAATTAAAATTGCTCTTTAATTTATAACTCGATACTTGATTTAAATTTTCTGTATGAAATAAATGTAAACTTTTATTACTGGGGAATATATTTGCGATAGGTATCTGTGGAGGCAGCGCTTCTGGGAAAACAACAGTGGCAACTAAAATTATAGAATCTCTGGACGTACCGTGGGTGACCCTTCTTAGTATGGATTCCTTTTATAAAGTGCGTAAATATTCTGATCAAAATATTCTGATCAATAGATTTTACTAGAAATATCTTCTTTTACAGTTTAACAAAGTTGTCATTAGCATGATGGAAAATAATATGGCTGTAGACATTACTGAATATTTGTCTTATAGGTATTAAACGAGAAGCAGCACGAGATGGCTGCACACAACGAGTACAACTTTGATCACCCTGACGCTTTCGATTTCGAACTTCTCAAGACTACATTGCAGCGTTTGAAGGAAGGACGCATGGTAGAAGTTCCTATTTATAATTTTGTAACACATCGTAGAGAAAGTAGAACGGTAAGTTGATTGGCTGCGGTTTTTACTTATCATGTAAGAAATTAATTTGTACAAGTTCTTTTTTTTTCTTTGCTTGGAAGAAAACCATGTACGGCGCCAATGTCATTATCTTCGAGGGAATACTTACGTTTTACAATACGGACGTCTTGAAGGTAAATCGATAAAAAAGATAATTTTAAAGGTTGGAAAAAATGTCGAAAGAGAGTAACAAAATAGATAAACGTTTCATCAAGCTGTGCGACATGAAAGTTTTCGTCGATACTGATGCGGACGTCAGACTGGCCAGGCGTTTACGAAGGGATATTTCACAAAGAGGTAGAGACTTGGAGGGTGTATTAAAACAGTACAGTAAGCACGTGCAGCCGGCTTTTTATTATTACATAGCGCCTCTTATGGTTCATGCGGATATCATTGTGCCGCGTGGAGGAGAAAACGAAGTGGCGATAGAACTAATCGTGCAACACGTTCATACTCAACTTCAGTTGGTGAATTTCTAACATTTATTTTGCACTTTATTAGATAATTATTACCGGTTTTAACGATCTCTGTGCCACTTTCAGAGAGGCTTCAAGTTAAGGGAGAAATTGGCGCACTCGTATATCGGTCAGCCGTTGCCTTCGTCTTTGTACTTACTTCCGGACACGCCACAGATAAAGGGTCTTCACACGTTTATACGAAATAAGGAGACCTATAGAGATGAATTTATTTTTTATTCTAAGCGCTTGATTCGTCTAGTCATCGAATATGCGTTGTCTCTACTGCCTTTTGAGGTAAATATACAAACGTACAGGAACATTGTTCAGTGCTATTTGTTTGTTTGTCGATTTCTCGTTTTACCAGTTTTTTTAAACTGATTTCATTATAATTATTGCAATTTTTATGGATAAGAGTTGTAGGCCAAGCGCCTAATTTCTAGGTATGTTATAATATATCATTTTTATATGAAGGATGTAACTGTCGAAACACCGCAAGGGGTGTTGTACGGTGGCAAGCGAGGTGCAACGGACAAGATATGCGGCGTGTCGATATTGCGCGCCGGCGAGACTATGGAGCAGGCTGTTCGAGACGTGTGCAAGGATATACGCATAGGAAAAATTCTTATCCAGACTAATCAGCAGACTGGCGAGCCTGAAGTAAGTACTTGAAAATTTTTTCTTCACAAGTACACTCTTGGTCGCAGGATGATAATTCATTTAATTTCTTGTATCTAGTTATATTATCTCCGATTACCAAAGGACATTAAAGACTACAGAGTAATATTGATGGATGCCACTGTTGCGACTGGTGCTGCTGCTATTATGGCAATTAGGGTGCTCTTGGATCACGACGTTGCTGAGGAAAATGTGCTGCTGGCGTCATTGCTGATGGCCGAATCCGGCGTACATTCGATTGCATACGCTTTCCCGCGAGTGAAAATCGTTACCTCCGCGTTGGATCCCGAGATAAATGAGAAGTTCTATGTACTGCCCGGTATCGGCAATTTTGGCGACAGGTACTTCGGCACTGAGCCATCTGATGATTAAGGTGATTTATAGATCTCTATTTAAAGTTCTTATATTCGCTACGTTGTGTAAATTGTGATACAAATGCAGATATCAATAATCTATCACATCTTTAGAAAAAATTACGTTATTTTATCACTTCTATATATGTGCCTCATCCTTATTAGTTTTATCTTACATCTATGACATTCAAATCAAGACCAGCTTTTCTACTCCTATTTTCATATGCGATGTTGGCTTTAAATGTCAACTTATGCTTAAAGAGGCGTTGTGCCAACACCACCGGTTTCCGCGATATCGGCAGCAGTGCCACGCAATTGTCTATAGCCTCGTGAACTAGCTCGATGAGAGCGTCTCCACGAATCCAGATTGTTACCACCGGGATTGCTTGGCGGGCTCAGAAGATACGTTATTAAACGGTCCAATGCGGCCAAGTCGTCGCTTGTATTGCCAGAATTCGCTAAGTTTTTGTGCGACCGTAAATCTCCACTTATCATTTCCTCGACGTTTCCATTATCTTTTATGTTGCTTCTACCCGCGGTTCCGCGACCATGAAGACCAAACCGAGAGCCAATCTATAATCGTTTTAAAAAACTGTTAAAGGAGGCTATTAAAGAATATAAATATATACTAATTTATATATTACAAGATTTATAAAAAATAATTATTTATAATAATTAGATATTATTACAAAATATTTAAATTGATGTGATATTAATACCTCTTCCGGTCCATGTTGCCCATAACTAAGTCTTTGTACTTTTCTGAAAGTTTCGTCATTTATCGCTTCTCTGACTGCTTCGTTTAGCGTACGTTCCAACGCTCGTTGTTTAGTTTTACTCAGTCCATCGTAGAAACTAATTCGAATGAGTATTTTAATGGGGGAAATCATTACATTTTTAAATTAATTATAATATATATAACATATCATAATATATATAGGCTGCATTCCGATATTGGCTGTCAGCAGCTGTCAGTACTGAAAATCTATAATATGCGTGACGTAAAATATAGAAAAATATAGATTTTTAGTACTGACAGTGAATATCGGAATGCAGCCATTGTTTTACGTTATTATACTTTATGACTCATAGGAATAAGATATAGTGTAATGTCATAATTTTGAATGTTTACACTTGCAGTTATCTTTTTACCTTGAATCCAAGGAACTGTTATCTCTAGAGATATTCTTATCGCGAACCAGCCGGATGTCGTGCTCCCAAAACCGACGCAGTTCCGGTGTTGACGTGTACGGTGCGGCCACTTCTTTAATCTGCGGTCACAAGCAAGTGATTACGATGAAAATAAAAATAACGTATGTGCGATAAGAGCGGATTACACATATTATTTATCACAATCGGCGAATTTGTCGTATCGCGATGTAATTTGCGTAAGCCGATGGTGAAGTTGTAATTAACGACGCCACGTGTATGTCGTGTTAGTGACGTAATAATACGAACGATGCAAATTACAGCCGCAATTTGCGATTGTTCTCGGCCATTAACGAGCTATGTCGCGTGCTAACTTTAATTACCTTCAAGACGATTATCGCCGTAATAAAGATGCACATTACGTTGATAAACGTCAGACACGCGCTGATAATGCCGTTGCAGAAGAACTCGACGGGCAAGTAATCACTGTAGATATATGTATAGGAACTATTAAAGTTTGTGTAAGATTCGCCTTTGATATGGGGCATTTTTATAGGCCGATATATGAGCCATATGCATCCCAGAGCCCAAAATAAGCCCTGCGAAAAAATAAAATCGAGCTTTCAGTTCGATCAATGTAATTACACTAATCCATTGATGACTGCCTGAACAAAGAAGGGAGAAAAACAGATATCTTTAAACAACATATGTCTAATTATTATTATATAGGCTTTACTTTTTACTACAATATATATGAATATTGTTTTCTTACGCAATTAACGACTGGCGGTAGTAACGAAGCTGATATGGCGACGCCAATTAACGGTCCATTGCTGCCTTGCAGTAAAGCGACTGCGACACCTGTGCCAGACGGAAGGGCCCAAAGAACACCCATCCAGAGCGATCTATAGTTGCCTCTACAGGAATTGTCACTTTTAGATAAAAGTTAGAATTATATTCGATTTTATATAATTAAAAGCTGCATGCAATCTACTGCGTTATTATTAATAGTAGCATGTCTGGTCTGATTTTTCTGTGATATATCCACCTGCCCTTCATTTCATCGGTCGGCCAATCATTATAACCCCATGGCATTTCGGTTGTACCGAGGATGAGGCCAAATATGAAGCCGAAGAGTATTGATAGGAAGATACCGAGCATCAAGCTCTTCAGGCCGACCAGTTGCAGGTCTCGGTCGGCTATGATCGTCCCGAAAGTCAGAGACATCACAGGTCCCTTTGATCAACGAGACGATCAAAAGTGTGAGGTGACGCGCGAACATTGTTTGACGACTAGCAAAGTTGCATTAAATTTTACCATGAGGGGAGAAACCAGCATGGCTGCGACGACATTGGTTGCACTGTTCTCGACGAGACCAAGTGCAGCGAGGCAGCTGTAAGATCGTAATTTTCACATAGTTGACTATTGTTAACACAACTTACTTATTGCGGCAAAACGTCATAAAGTCTATTAGCGTTTTTCTTTGGCAGAACTGGTGCGCACTCAGTGCACATTAAAGCCGTTGTACACAAATCAACGTAATGTGTATGTTTAATATAAACGGGTTAAATCATGAAATGCTCAATATTCTTTATTGCACTATTTGGTAAAATATGTACTGGGTATTTTATCAGTCGAAATATTTGCATTTTACTTTAAATATTAGAGATTAAATCAGTGTACAACGGCCTTAATGTGCACTGAGTGCGCACCAGTTCTGCCAATGAAAAACGCTATATGTTTTATGTTCGATATTCTACAATGCCTTCAATCCGAAAAACATGATAAAATATAAATCGCCAAATAAGTGACAAAGAGGAATTTTAAAAATAATATTAGAGGACTGTTCTCTCGTGGTCACGTACGAACTTACCGGAAATCTGTTTTGATTACTTATTTTATATAGAGATAATGTATATAAGGGTAATAGGGGTAGTTTGGCTTCTTACTCCGCGGTTAATACCAGACTTATGTAATCGAAAGTAAGATCACCGCCACTGCGAACGCCATCGACCACCTGTTTCACCGTCAATTTCGATCTGATAGATCCCACGAAATCGTTCCAAGCGTTCTTACGGTCCTCCGATTCTTTCCGTCTGATTGGCAGGAAACACGCGTGTCAGATAATATCTCACAAATGTATTCCCGCTCTTAAATCTCATTTAGCAAAAGTCAATTAGAAAAACCTGCGAGCAACGTCGTCCTTGACAGCCAGCGATCCCGCACCGTTCACACCGCTATACGTACATTGCGTCGGGATTACGCTAAAAATAAAAAATCAATAGCCAAAGTCATGACTCCGAGCGCATTGGAGCTCGCTCGTGCGATTTTTCTTTTAGCTCAGCGTAAAAATCACCTTACTATCGAGTTCATTTTAACGCCGATACCCATCTCGGTGAGGCAATGTATGCAATTTTCGCAGGGTTCTCCGGCGGGCACCGGAAATATCACCTTTCACCAAAAAGCCAGTTTGCATTGACGTTTGGAAATATACATAGATAAAAATGTATCCGCAACTCTTACTATACCTCGTAATACATGTCTTCCTTGTCCTTGCACCACACGACATGCTCTACTCTCAGTTTTTTGAGAAGCTCTTCCAGTACCTGCGAAAGTTGAACAAACCACATAAATACATAATTTGATAAGTATGAATTTCGATCTGAAATTGAATTGTAGAAATATTTCCGAAAAGGATCCTGATTTTTTTAGAAGCTAAAAATTAGTAAAGAAATTAATCTTGAAATCAGCATATCCCTAATGAAAAAAATTCTGAGAAATTTTGTAAGAATTGAGACTGATGAAAAATTCTGAGACATTTTTCCACCAGGGTCCAGGGTATATTTTATTTATTCATAATTCATAATTTTGATGGTTTACCCTGATGAAAATATTTCATAAAAAATATAATACAATTTTACTGAAATGTATTTAAAATTCTCTCTCAGTTGACCCCACACATTTCATTATATTATTATTCTACCAATATTTCAGTAAAAACTCAGTTTTTAATTAAATTCAGTAAATTTTATGATATTTCTAATATCTCAAAAAATTTGTTATTACTTTTCAATAGTGTAACTTAACTTTCTTTATATTTCAGTATTATATATTACATTTTATAAGGAAAATTATGATTTATTTTGATATAATTAAGTAATTTTTCAAGAAGTTTTATTTTACTTGTCATTGATTTCATAGTACTTTCAGCAAAATATTTCCATCAAGGTATTATAATTATGTTTTGTATCTTCATTCTGTGTAATATCTATATCTTTTAATATCCTCTATACTGTTACCGTTTCCATCGACACGAAAACCGGCGTTTTCGATCGCGAGGGGTATCCGCGAGAACGTTTCCTAGGTTCAACGCCGACGTCAATACCGACGTCGTCGTCGTCATCGTCGTCACCGTGACCACCGTTTTCGATCGTGAGTAATTGCGCGCGGGTTTTCGCCTCCTTCAGACGAAGGTCCACCTTCGGCGCCGCGATTTTATTCTTGCTCTTCTCGCTCTTCTTCGAGCACTTCAGCGGCACGCCGAACACAAGTTCGTGCTCGTGGCTCAGAGTGGGAATGCAGACCAAGAATACGACACCTCCGGGCATGTTTGTTCCGCGTCGACAACTTTATTGCACGAGAATCACTCACGCGATCTGCCTCGTGCGATCGCCAGGGCTGTTCTGCCTCATCTCGGTTTCACCGAGCGATCTTTCGGAAGATCGAAGGTGCAATTCATTCATCGGCCAACGATAATTGCTTTATTGCCTGGCTCATAATTGCCCCGTGAGTGAAGATGACTTTACGATGCTGTTTTCGGACGGTCGTGACATCAGAAATATTCGATACGACGATTGGAAATATTCTTGCTTGGAAGTACTCGAATTAAAAATTACATAGTTACAGAAACATTTACAGTTCTTGTTATTTTTCTTTTTAAGAAGCAAGATGTTAACGAAGAAGAACGAGAAAGTTGATAATAAAAGGTTCCCACCGATCCATCAGCACTCGAGTGTCATCGTTGGCGAGAATGATCCGTTTAAAGAATCGGCAGAGATAAAGAGGTAAGAGAACACGTGAAATAAAAATATCAAATGTAATAGTCTTTTAAGAAATAAACATTTATTTCCTTTTAACAAATCAACAGCGTAGAGACTAGCACCTAGAGACTAGTCCGACGTTTTTTCATCCGGTCTAAGTAACTAAAGGCCGCGAGGAATATTCCATACGAGGGGAACTTCCAAATCCGTTGCGAAATCAGTTTTGTTTATCGTTGCAGAAAGCTTCCCGTGTTTTTTCTCTGATTTCTTTTTTAAATAGAGCGAACTTATACCCTGTCACCCTTTTATGTAGATACAAAAGTGGTTCGGTATCAGAGAACGCGTACGCTAAAATTAAGTACTCCGCAATATGCGATGCATTTATAAGGAAGTATAAAAATCGCAGGGTCCCCAAGAGCCATGAGGTAATTGTCAAAAAGTTAAAGATCCAGGAGTCTATTGAAAATCTAAGCTATAATTATGACGTTAATAAAATTAATATTAATCGCTATGGGCGATGCGAAAACAATATACAAGAAAGATCGCAATTTCTGCAATATGCAACAGAAGTATTCGGGATGGTCGATGACAAGGTTCCACTATTGGATGTGCGATCCCATTTTGTAACTGCATTCTCCCCCTCTTTCTCTCTCTCTCTCTCTCTCTCTCTCTCTCTCTCTCTCTCTCTCTCTATTCTCGATTCGTATTTTGAACAAATCAAAATAAGTCACCGACTATCGAAAGACTCTGGTTGACAAAAGTTCCCCTCGAAACTAGCAAGAGCTCGACGCTTCCGCTTTCCGCCTGCCACGCCGAGCGATGGCTATAATTGCATTATTAGTTATTAGTAGTAGAACTAGTATAGTCACATACTAGCGATAGTAACAAGTGTAACAATAATAACTATAGTACCGAATGGTCTAAATGGTCGCGCTCCGCCTCTCGCTTTCTTTTTCTCTTTTCTCTTTTTCCGTCCGCGAAATAATACTAGACGTTAACAAAAATAGTGAGGATGAGGATGCTGTTGAGGATGACAACGATGAGGATGCCGACAATTTGCTAGCGTATCTTTTCTAAGAAAAACTGTATGTACATATGCTGCTGGCGGCTTTTCGCTAAATATATTGACCAAGCGGTGCCGTGGCCGCGCCATATTAACAATGTATTGTAACAATGTGTATTACCATACACCAGGCACCGTTTACTCACGAGTATCCGCTTGCCGGAAAGTTTTGTTCTTTTAAGGCCATACTCGAAGGGAGAGCGGCGCGCCTATATACCGCATCTCTCGTCTGGTTCTACACGAATCGCACATTGTCGACCGAACGTCGTGCAACCGTTCGCTTGAAAGGAGGTTCTCCTAAATTCAGCTGGGGATGCGTCGCTACGGGATGTTGCCTACGTACACCGCGACGTGCTGCGTTGCACGGATGCGTACGTACACGCGTCAGAACCGCGATAATGGGACCGCTAACGATATAACGCACCTAATGTTGGACTAGCGTCCGCGAAGCTGCGGCCAGACTAGCGACTTAGCGAATAAAAGCCGTAACTTCAATCAAATAACTAAAAATGCATAATTTTTTATCATGACGGAATCGTCCTTTGTCTTTGTATTTCCAAAAATGTATGATAGGGGAGACCGGGGCTAAAACGTCTACGGGGTAAATCCGTCTAATCAAATATCTCGGAACCTGTATATTGTAAACGAACTCGCTATTAACATTGTAAACGCTGCTTATGGTACCCATGTGACCAACGGAGTTTCGGCAGGTGACCTGCTGTGTTATGATTTTTACGAGGACAAACGTGTTTTTGTAGTGAAAAGTGAAATTGTCTGCGTGTGGGAATTTTGTAATATCTGCAATAATATTTGCTCTCCAAATCTCGAGGTACGTGATTATAAATGCATGCTGATTATAAAGAGTAATGCATGCTGAACACGAATCCAGTGTAGATGTCTAATATTTCATGGGCGATCAAACCTGAAACTGATTTATCCCGGGGGGTAGACGGTTTAACCCCGGCATTTTCGAGATTTAATTTTTCCACCGTTTTTGTTTTTGCTCTATACCGGTTAAACAAAGCGACGTAGACAAAAATTTCCTATATAAATTCTGTAGCTAAAGGTTCACTCTTTACAGTGGTATACCACATTTAACTACAATTATTTATTTTGTTGTTAAAAATCGGCACCAAAAAAAAAAAACAGACGGTTTAGCCCCGGTCTCTCCTACATCTAAATCGGTATCTATCTATAAATGACAATTTGATCAGTGCAATAAGCGTTTTTAAAAAACGCTCTCTGATCGTTAAGAAAAATAATATTTCCTATCAAGCGACGATGGAGATCAAAGTTAAACTTTCTCTATAGAAAATTATGTCGTAAAATAATTCGGAGATAATGTAAGTTAATCATATTATCGAAAATTAGACATTATTACCAGAAATAACATTAATTGTTAAGTGTAAGTTGTTCGTATTATGCTACTGGCAGGATTGTTTTCAAAATTTAGCAAATTGCGGCAGCAACTTAAGTTTTTAACTCGACTCCGCGCGTATAACTTTCTACTAAGTCGATTAGTCTGATCGTAGTCTAATCACGAAGTATACACCAGCGATGATCGCCGGAATCATCAAATCCACCCCCGAGAGAAGGGTACTCGTGGTAAAATCTTGGGACAAGCTGGCGGGGCGCGTTTCGCGACGCCGCCGCACAACAAGACTTTTTAATCGATAGCACCGACAAGTTTTTATGTTTTGCGCCAATGACGACGACGACGGCAGCAAATCGTACAAATCGTCGGCGTTCAAGCACTTCTACAGTTCCTTAAGGCCACAATTCCAAGACGTCTTAGAGATGGATTTAGAAATAAGCCCTTGCTCTTGACAAGCGCCTTCACCCTCACGTTCACGCGGCGTGCAGAAAAAAATAACAGTGACTCATCAAATTTCAACGTCGTATACGCGTCGTTCCTCGCGCTTCCTTCCGAATCGGCGAGCGATCTCGCGAATGCCGAAAACTCGAATAGAGGATCATTCACTTCAAAGAGATTCGCCACTTTGTCGCATTACTGCATGGAGAAACTCATCATTAACTCTTTGTAGAAGAATATCTTTCCTTTTCTTATCTCTTTCGTAATTTATCTAATTTATTAGATAATCATCTAATAAATTTTTATCAAAGTTATCTTATTAGCACGAAATTCCTGCGTTTTCCTAGATATTTCTTCTCGTACAAAATTCAATTTAAAATCGCAATCTCTCTCTTTCTCTGCATTATCATTTCTCCCGGGATTTGTTCATCGCAACGTCTTGTTGCGCACATTTGCGAGGCGTATCAACAAGATTCAGGCCGAGATTCAGATTCGTGAGATGCCTCCTGCAAAAGGCGGCTCATCAAGAGCAGGTCTTCTCAAACGGGGGCGCTCGGTCGTCGCAGGAGCGAGGTGAGCAACGAGTGTCTCGGTGGTCGCCGAAAGGGTCGACGCTGTCGCCGCTCGACGTCCGCGAAGTCGGACGATCGCTCCTCGGCGACGGTCCCCAAGGGTCAAGCCTTCTCCTCCTCCTCGTCATCCACGTCCTCCGACGATTCCGACGTGGAGGAGGTGAGCAGGGCGGTCGACAGGCTCGGCATATGGGGTAAGCAGGCGAGGGAGTTAAGGCGTGCTCTCTGAACATTCCAGCAGTCCGGCAAGGAGTGGGACCCGTCGTCCGCTGCCCTGTCCCCCGAGCGAGCTCGGTCGGCGAAGCCGAGCTCCATCATTGACACCCTCCTCGCGGGCACCCTCCTCGGGTTGCCTGGAAGAGAAAAGTGGCCAACGTTTCGTTTATTCGAGAAAATCGCGAGCCTTGGCCGATTATCGGTATCCCTTAACTACTGAAATGTATCTTGAAGAGATTTAATGTAATTAACTCCGATAAAAAATCTTCTCCGATAAATATTGTTCACAAATAATATTCTCTTTCCACCTATGACCGATGTTTTTGATTAGAAAATAGTTTGTTTGAAAAATTTTAATACACATACATGCGACATTTGATAAGTAAAATGGGATAATAAAATTGATACATGTCAGGAACTTAATATCTCGAAACCAAGTAGACATTAAGTACATTTATTAAAGGACACCGGTTTCCCCGCCGCGGCGTTATCGCAAATATCGCAGCGAATATACCAATGCCTGAATGATAAAAGGATAAGAAGTAAAAAGCGATTAGTACAACAGTAAATAAAAAAGTGAAAAATTAAATAACACGACATGACATTGATAAACAAAATAAATTGGTATGGATTTGTAACAAAGGTATTAGATTGTCTTAGAACAGAGATTGTACATTTACGCATGCAATCCGTTCTCGAAACAATATTTCTATAACGAAACAACGGTTAGCATGTTGCGGGCACTCGCGTGTCGATGCTCATTTTGCAATTGCTCGCAAAAATAGCCACGGACGTGCAACGCAACGCGAGTGACGTCCGTCACAACGCATTAAAAAATAGCGTATGTCAGTGTTTCTCAACGTTTTGCGTCTTTCGCGTATCACTTTAAACATTTCTTACTTAAACTCACTAATTTATTAGTCATTATATGTCATCGACGTCTGAGATATTGTTTGAAAACTTCGAGAAACGTGCGATTTTTTTTTATACATTGGCGATATAAATCTTGGTAAATATTTGAGAGTACTTTCTCTGCGCATTAGAAAGTTTGGAAGGGGCTGTAGAATGGAAACAACAATCTGCCTCGGTATGCACAGAAAAGAGAGAAAGGGAAGGGGGAGAGAAAAGGAACAAAAAATAAAAATGAACCTCACGTACCCTCCTTCCGCTTTGCGTCACGTACCCTTGGTTTTCGCCGGGGAATCCACTTTCGCAGGGGTGTACTCGTCCGTCTCGTCCGCCTCGTCGACGGTCTCCTGGCAATCGATACTGTCGGGCGTGCACACGCTCTCGCGTCGAAATAGGCCAATCACGGATTGGACTTTCGGCTGTTCGATCCCACCTGAAAAGCGGAAAGACACAACACGGGTGTGTAAAAGTACCGCCGGGAATAAATATAGGCAGTGAGCGATTCTCTCCTGCACGAGCTGAAAGTTTTCAGAGTTAATCTTCTTAAAGGTAAACTGATAACTTTACGCTTGTCGTAACGGTCTATCAGTTTTCATACTCGTTACTCTTTTGTGAGAAAAAAATCGACGAAACTTTAACAGTAGATTAATATTTAACAGCTAAACTGATTTATCGCCGTTTTTTCCTCTCTCTTTTTTTCTCTTTACCTAAGAAAGTGGCGGAGGGCGAGCTGTAGGCGAGGTATTCTTTATTGGAGCACCAGGCTGGAAATTCGTGCTGCTTGATCGGATGACCCGACTCGTAATCGTCCTCACGTTTCCACGGTAACATAGTTTCCGTGGCCGTAGGGGTGGTTACTCTGTAGCTACCTTCCGCGCCTAGGTCAAACACCGCAAAACAATAGTAACAGGAGTACGAAATGGAAATTGAAATCGCTATGATTTCGGCGGATTCGCAATTTTGAATTTTCGGTGCCGGTAGACACGAAAAACCCGTGTCCACCGAAATTATATCGATTCCAAACCCTGGCGAAACAAACGAAAAAAAAATAAATGATCAGCAATATGAAAAAGGTGCAAAGAGAGAAACATGGTTCACTGTTATAGTACACAAGATCAGCGACTGCTTTCGATAAATGCTGAACAATATAAAAAAAATACGCTGAAAGAAAAGAAACGATTCACGCAAAGCCAACGCTCGAGATCTTTCTTTTTTCTAAAAAACGTACCGTCGCGTCCTATTTTCAAGTCTCCTTCGTCCGTATTTATTGTATCCATCGACGTAGTAGCGGTGGTAGCGTGTTGATTGTCCGCGTTTACATTCGGCGAATCTTTCGTTTAAAGATTTTAAACTTTATTAATCATGACTCTTTTTTAAGAAGATAATTAAGTAACTATATTGTACACAAATTGTGAGAAATGTAATCTTTGCTATAGAAAAAAAAAAACGAGATATCTTGATCGTTTCCTCATCGCCGCCTCATTCGATATATTTCGTCGATATATTTTTACCTTCAATCTCATTTTTCAGTTAAATTCGATTTAGTAAGTTGAAGAAAAGTCTTCTTACCAGATGTTCGTGCGGTGAACGTGATCGCCGAATCCCAATCCTCTTTGCTCGAGGGCTTCGAGGTTTCTCCGTCTTCCAACTCGTACAGCACGCCATTGATGTAATCTGTGCACGATAATTCATGAAAAAAAGGGGGAAAAAATTACGAAACCTTGAGGTACAATTAATTATCCGCGACGTTTTGCACGTACCTTGCGTAAATAATTTTGTCGAGCCGTTCTGCTGTTGAAATTCTGGGAAACTAACGTGATTCTGTTTGCCGTCCTATAGAATCGAAATCGATAAACGGTAAAAATCAAATAAAAAGTAAAAGACATCGAAATTAAATAGGACAAACGATCGTGGATCGATTTCTTACTTTGAGCAACTTTTTGCTGCGTTTGTGGCGATGCTTCTCCCCCACCATCCGTCGAATATTCATGTGCATTTTGTAATTGACTTGTGTCGAGAGATCGCGATCGTTCACCGCGTGTCGGCTGTAGCTCAAACGTCGATGCTGCATGGATTAACATAATGTTTGTACAAAATTCTTAGACGCGATACGACTTTAAAATACGATAAAATATTTTGCTACTAACATGTTTTATAGACGAGCTCTGATAAATTTCCAGAGCAGCAAATGAATAATAAAATTAAAAAGATGTCAAGATATTTCAGTAAATATTAGAGAATTGTAAACAATTACATTTCCGCCTGAGCTAAATTGACTTAAAAAATTGTTAAAGACATGGCTAAAAAATTTGACAGTAGAAAAGGGATTACCACTTCATTACACGTAATATATTATATTATGTGATAGATCATATATCACGAGCAGATTTGGAGTGGATTTGAAGAAAATCTAGACTCGACCGTAATCTCTTACCCTTTTGTACGGTTTACAAAGCTCTTCGGCGAGCAGATGGTGAATTCTCGCGTCCGTCAGGTCTTTTTTGGAAGGATTGTACTCCAGTTCCTGCAGATCGATATTCCATCCCGATTCGAGCTGGCTGCAGCTGGGACTGGAGAGAGGAAAAGAATACAATTAGAGACTGCGCTTTTATTTTTATCAACGACAATTGTCAGAGGAGGCGTACAACGGCGAATTCCGCACCTTCCATTGAACTGTCCGGTATTGCTGTAATTACGGAATATCGCCGACATACTTTCGGTGCCGCTAATGTTGCCGATAGTGGAGGCGTTCCTTCTTATGTAATCCAGCGCATCCTTCATCGCCAGCTTTGAGTAAGTTTCCAGAATCTTCGGCTCGGCGCCGCAATAATCTCTCACGAGATAAGGTCGAATGAATTTATTGTCGAATCGCTTGAATCTACAGCAAACCAAGTTTTCAGATAATATTTTTATCGGGAGGATAAAAGAGAGAGAGAGAGGGAAAAATGCAGAAAAAATATTCCGGCAACAAACGAGAAAAAATACAGAAAAAATATTCTGGCAAACAAATAATCCATCTGTATCATATTTGAGAGAAATACTTTTTATCTTAATAAAAATTTTACTTCTATTTAGACACATGAAAGACATAAACCCTTTAAATGCGCAATTTTTCGCATTCTGAGTATTTTTTAAAATAAATAATGGCTGCTGATGAAGTATTATATATATATGAAGTATATATAATACTTCATATATAATGAAGTATTATATGTAATCAGCAGAGAAAGGCCTTTATATATATATATATATATATAAGCCGCGCGTTTTCAGTTCAAACATCGTACAAGGGAGAGTACACGGCGCATCGAAAAGTCGTGCATATTTGCAAAGGTGCGCACTTAAGGGTAAATCTAATCTCGCTTCTGTTTATTATTTTACGCTAATAACTCATAGATTCTGGTTTGATTGCTCGCAAACATGGCCAAGTTGAGTAAACACAAAGTTACGACTAAGCGTCTTACTTATCCCGGACGTGGTGGTTGCCGTGTTTCCCCACAATGTCCTCGATACCCGCCATCGTATGATCCATTATCTAAGAATTGAGAGACAGACGTTATTTACCTTTCAGTTCGATGCAGGCGTCACGACGAATCCGCCGGGATTTAAGCTATACGTATATACACGGGCAAACGCAAACGCAGGTAGAAATGATGTATCAAAGCCCCGGGGTAAAAATTGCCGCTATATACACATTTTGTAATGCGACTCGACAATGACTAACGTTATCCTATTTCACAATTCGACCCTATTCTTCATATCGGTCGTATAGCTCTGTCATTCCCGTTATAAAGATGAGTTATATGCCGTAACCGGGATTCGAGGTAATAGGTCGCCGTTCCGTTATCGTCACAGTTTGGTGATAACGATCGAACGATCTTGTCGAATTTTTGACAATCTACGTCGATTTGTTTTCCCGACAATGACAACGAATTACAGCGACAGCAAACGACAACCGAAATAAATTTCGTCGTGCAACGTACCCTCTCGTGGATCCTCTCGTTCATCGTCGGCTTCCTCTTCTCGGCCCTTTTGACATTGAGAATTTTGACGAGGGGCTTGATGGTGATCCCCTGAAAATAAGAGCGCGTTACACATGGGCGTCGCGAGCCGGACGCGTCCGCTCCCGACGCGGATTTTATCAGTCGGCGTCGAGCGAAGAGAGAGAGAGAGAGAGAGAGAAGCAACGCGCGGCTGATAAAACGCGTTTGACGCAAAAGTGTATGCTCACGTATGTGCCGGCATAGAGATATTAGGTTTCCGATCGATCGCGCAACACAAAGCACACGTGCAAAGCCAAGCTGTTTTTTTTTTGTTGCGGCTAGCATCTTTGTATCACCGCTCATTAATTGATTAAACGGATCATCTGTCCGTTTAATGGCGATCACTTTCCTCTTTCTCGCCGTTCTCTCCGTTTCGATGAAATAGTCCTCTCTCTCTCTCTCTCGGAACGCGTGCCACCTTTGGCCGTGTCTCAAAATACGCGCGAGTCATCGATTCCGTGAAAAAGACGCCGCTGACTGGGTCGGCCCGGTTTACTAATGCACAAGATCTGCAATCTTGCACTCCTTGAAAGAACACGCGCAAACACCCGTCGTTATGCAACGCTCACGTGAGTGTTATTCGTTTTCGCACGAAACTCGTCATGGATCGATCGCGATCATGCATGTCATGCGATCCTACCTGGATGAACACGGTGAAGTAGATAACAGCGATAGTGGTGGTGACGAACATGGGCTGCAGGGGCACGTGTTTGGGATCTATCAGAAGCACCAGGGCGAACGCCACGGCGCCGCGTAAACCACCGTAGGACATGACGAATTTCTCAACCTTGTCCAATTTGTGCAGCCGGAACTGGTTCGCCAGTGCTGACAGCACTATCACGCCTGAAACACGAGCGTGATTACGGATGTAATATCACCTTTAAAAACGCGTAGCATTGTTTGATATAGCCTACAGCACACGCTAAAGTTGAAAAGAATTTTCTAAGAGTCTGTATTTCCGATATCGTATTGTCATGTATTTATTCTTTTTGATTTATTATTTTTATAGTTTAGACTGTTTAGAGAGAGAGCGTTATATCTTCGGTTTTATAAAAGTCTATTACAATATCTATTACAATCCCGATCGATTTATTTAATTACGAGCGATCGTCAATTGCCTATTACAAAGGCGTGAAACGTTGAGTGTACCGATGTAATACTTCTAATAGAATGCGTGGCATCTCAGGCTTTGCCCTTATCTTTCCACACTTTCCACACGGTCAAGTGACAAATTGTCCGGTTAGAACAAGAAGCCATATAAGCGAAGCGCGTCGCTCACGCGTGACGCAAGATACTCGTGTAAGTAGGAGTCAATTGTCTTGAGTCCCATTATGATTTCATCGTTTAACCATATCGTTTTACACGCCATTCCGGCTCGCCGCGATAGCCGGGGTTCGAAGCGACGCCCTTAACGCCCGGCCCGCCCGTCCAGCTGGCCCGGTCAAGGCCCGCGCGATCGTGTAAGAATTCTTTGACACGATTTCGCTATTGTCACGCTACTTTTTCTCGTTTCCCTCTTATTGCAATATTCCTCGGAAACTTTTTCCACGCCGACAGTTGTGCGTGCCAATTTTCTTTTTATTAGCCGATTCAGAAAATTACATGATTTGTACTTTTACAAGTCGAGTCTAAAAACACGCACGTAGAATTGTACCGTAAAAATGTTTAGGAGCTTTAGAAACTATCGTTGCAAATATATGCAACTCTTATTAAAGAACAAATTGCAAGAACAGAGTAATCCCTCGTATATCACGTAACAGCTATTCAAAGGTGGGTATAAGCCAAATGTAGGTAGGAAGAATTCTTCCCTCTGACCCCACCCCCTCCCTCAATCGAATAAAATTAGAAAATTTGCAGGCTTTTACTTACCCAGAACCCGATAGACGGAGCAGAAGACTATCGTCATGACGACGAACCACGTGTTCCAGTTGTGTGCATTGTTCACCGTGGCGACACCGAGGAACATGAATATGATCGTCTCCGAGCTACTCGACAGCATCTTCATCGTGTACTTGACGGTCGTGTGAGACTTGTGCGATATATTGGCCTCAACGTAATTCTTCATGGTAATGCCGCAGAAGGTTATTCTGGAATAAAGGGATCGCAAATTACGGGAACGAGCGGCTCGGCAAATCCGCGTTGTTTCGACAAAGTTGAACCTCGCGAGCCGAGAATCTTGTCTGTAAACGCGAGTAATTATAACGGACGTAACTACCGGGAATTAAGCTATATACTGTTTAGAACTCTATTTCGGTATTGATCCAGCTAATATTTCCTTCGCGATAGTTTCTTGGCGTTTATTTCAGTTCCTTATAATTTCTGCAGAGTCGTGCCAAGGATCAATGCAACAAGTTGTTGTAACTTATTCTTGTAATTGATACCGCCATTTATCGATAGGTACTTATTTAATATTCAAGATTATAATAGTTCCGATATAGTGTTCGTAACGTTCGCAACAGAGAGACGAATTTGATCTCGCGATTGAGCGATTTATCTGTTGAAAAGTATTATTGGAACGCGACGCAAAACTGGAAGATGCCAACGCGACATGTCGAAAAAGCCGATGATTAACTTACGCCAATATGCCGGACAAGTGGAAGATCTCCGCGCTGAGGTATGCCAAGTACGCCATCACGAATATGAAGATCGGCTCTATCACGCGCACCTGATGAGTAAACCTGGTCACGAAGCCAGTGATGAAGCCCCAAACTACACCTATGACCGTGCCACCGATCGCCACCACGAAAAACGAGGCTAGGCCAGTTAGCACGTCCGTGTAGATGATCCTGGAAGGGCCCATCTCGCTGTACGCCTCGAACATGTGATAGAGCACCTGCGTATTCGTATTAAATGGCCTTTTACTTCAGTCGTCGCAGTAACCCCTGACACTTTCCTTCCTTCGCCTCGCCTCGCCTCGCAACGGCACGAAACTAATAGGCGGCGGATCGTTAACGGCTGGCTCAACCTTCCTCGCATTACCATTCTTAGCTAGCACGACCCAATTTTTCCGGCAAAGCGGAACACTTTTTTCGGACGATTAACGCGGTCGACTAAACGACATTGCAAATATAATACTAGAAACTGTAGATATGGCACAGAGGTATACCGATCTATTTGTAGGGGCATTCAGTCTCGCTACGTAAGAGATAAAATTGGAACGGAATGAATGAATTTCTTAAGAAACCGTCGTATTTTGCGACGCTACATTCTTCTCGCTTAAACGACACACAGACATTTTTTTTTAGAGTTAATTGTGCATGAATGATGTCGAGGCGCCAGTGTTGGCGACACGTTTATTAAAATCGTCGCGACGACCACGTTTATAAAAACGCGTTTACATAATATCGTTTTGTTTTATTCAAGCGGAACATTACAGATCATAGACATAAAGTGCGCCAGCGAATACGATATTAACTTTTAAGCGAGGCGAAGGTATTTGGTACCTACTTGACTCGCGCTTATGTACAACGTGATCAATGTTATATCGATCGGTCGCCCGACGAGTGCTTGTCATTTGGGGCGGTGTCAAGCTTTGCTATATTCTATCTCCGTTTATTTATCAGACATTTTAAAATGTGATGTGCGAGGATATTAATCTACGTCAACTTCAGGGTCAATGTGGGAGAATGTGAAAAGAGCAAGAATTCGATATCATAGATAAATAAATTGCATGGTAGTTATTGTTATCTTTCTTTGGCATATTGTTGATTATATTGTTGATTGATATTCCGCGATCATTAATGTAAAAGATAATATAATTGAGAAAATTAATTCTGAAAAAAATGTAAGTCTGTTTTTTAAAGAATCAAGAAAAAACAAAACTTAACATCAAATCAATCACATATCATTGGCCGCATTCAGAAAACACAACCGTTGAGTGAGCGGTCAGTGATTCTTTAATATGATTAGTTATTCTTACCTTTGGTTCTTCTCCGGATCTAAGTGTAAGAACTAATCATAATGAGCGCTCACTCAACACTTGTGTTGCCTGAACGCGGCCATAGCTTTAAAAAGAATTGACTCCGCATTCAACAACACTTTTAATTTCTCTTTAGCTCGCGAATCCTTCTTCTAATAACGATTTTTACATTAGGCTTTATTACCTGATAACTTTACATTTTCCTTGAATTTTGATTCTGAGCGAGCCTCTCTTTGTCCATAGTTTACTTTCAAACCTGTTTTTATCTTTAGTCTATTTAATTTATTTGGACCTTAACTCTTTAAAAAATTCTAATATTCTCATCAAAGAGATACTTATAATTTTCTATTACGATTATTTAAACTCATTTGATGTGTTTTTATGCATTTGTTACGATTATTTCGAAAAAGAAGATATATTCGTGTACTCCGTTTTTTTCTCCTTATGCCTATTTATCATATGTGTGCGGAAATCTCGTATTCGCAGACCGAACGACTGATCAGCTTTAATCTTTGTCTAAATGTCAAAGACTTTCATTTTGCAACAAAAAGACAAAGATTTCTACGTGCGTAGCGTAGTACTACCTGCGCAACAAAGTCCTTGACGTGCAGGATCACGTAATGTAAATAATGTAATACTCACGACAGTGACCGCGTCGTTCAATAAACTCTCTCCGAACACGACAATGTAGAGTATCTCGTTGACGTGGATCTCCTCGAAGACGGCCAGCACGGCCACGGGATCAACAGCGCTGATTAACGCCGAGAAGAGAAGCATATCGAGGATAGGCGTCTCGTAACCGAACATACCGCTTTTTCCCAACAGCCATAACGACACACCTAAAGTGCAAATAGCGTTTTAATCGTGCACGTCCAATATCTGATATCATAATTTTTCCCGCGTCCGTAGTCTTAATTATCACGAATATCGCGTCGCGTTAATCCGCTTTAAATATATCTGAATAAATTGTCAATTTATCGGGATTATTATTATCCCATCGATCCGCAAAGTCATTGAACGTTAAATCACGATAAGAGGGAGGGAGGGAGGGAGGGAGAGGGGGAGAGAGAGAGAGAGAGAGAGAGAGAGAGAGAGAGAGATTAACGTCGCCAAAGATAGAAATTTGCATTATCGAATACCGACGCCCCGCCCACGTGTTATATTCATACCTATCAAGTACTCGCAATAATCCTCCCTTTTGGGAGGAACCTTCTTGGTATTAAGCGCTCCCCGTAGATTTTCGACAATAAAATATAGTTTTTAATCTACTCCGATCATAATTAATTAATTAATAATCGTAATTTCATGTTATCGATCGTTGTTGTATTTACCGTGTTGTTTTTTATTTGGAACTTACGCGCGGCACGATTCTAGAGAAGCAAGGAGTTTTTATTTCCGTCGCGAGTTCTTACAGATTAATTCAGTTAATCGGATATCTCGTTGGATTTTATCCCGATAATTACTGCAAACATCATTAGAAATAATTAAATTTTTATGTAACGTTATCGCGCGGACGCTTCTCACACTTTTTTATTTTATCTCGCGTCGTCTTCGAAAAGTCGTCGCGATTTATTCGCAAAAACATTTGCGTCTCTTGAAGAACTTTAGATCTGCGTACTTTTCCACGTGTTCGTTTCTGCAGTATTTATTAAAATTTTATCAAATTACGATTTTGATATTCGGCAGAATTCTGATGCCGAATGAAAATTGTAAATAATTACAGCCGTATTGTTCCACGTTTTCTCTCGAAACGCAATTAAATAAATATTGAAAAATTCGTATCCAAATTTGAATTGGAATATTAAAAAATTCAATATAAAACAGGTCACAAGAGACAGATGTTAAAGTTCCAGAAAAGAGACAGTATATTTATAACATTCTATTTATTTATATTAAGAAGAATATCAGAACGTACTTTTCTACATTTATTTTGTATCTCATAAATGTTTATACATGGCATCTATGAAACATTTTACAGGGCTATTGCCCTTGGCACATAGTCTTGGCACTTCTCGCGATAAGAAGTAACTGTCCGAAATATGGCACTAATAATCTTTTTACATAAAGTCAATTCTAATCGATAATCGCGTCTGTCGTTTACTCTCAACGTGTCTATCTTATCCCATCATGGTTTCTTAACGTGATTTTATCGAGCATTAAATAACTCAGACTTAAATGTCGCGTCGATCTCTTTTTCCCGCTCTCTTTTTTTTTCTTTTGGTCACAGCGACAATTTCGCTCGAAATCTGTGGTTATCGGAATCACAATCGAAATTACGCGTTATCATTGCGATGATAGCGACTATCGTCGCGATGACGACTGCCGCACATGCTCTACATGCTGTCATCATCATCGTCGTCGTCGTCGTCGTCGTCGTCGTCGTCGTCATCGCTTGCCTCGCGCATCGTCCCAACGTCCGCTTCGACGCGTTGCGCTATTTTCGTTCTCAAGCCGCGCGTTTTCTCCGCATTTTTAAGACGAACATCTGCGTTCACGCTAGACCGCGAGCAGACCGTGAGCAAAAGTGAAGAATGGAAATTTCACCATCCGTGGGATGGCCGTGTTTTCTTTATGTATGCTTCTCTTTATACATATGTATAACGCACACACCCAACTTGCTCAAAGTCTTATTAGACTTTCAGATTTTTAATTAATCTTTTTAGGATTTTTCTTATCCACGTGCACTAGAATTGTTTAATAGATTGCTATTAAATTTGATTTATCCGGAAGTCTACTTTTCCCCTTTACGGCAACTTATTTGTCGGAAATTTTAAAATTTAAAAATAAAAAAATATATTATAGCAAAAAATATAGTTTTACAATTAAAAATATAGAAATTATGGAAAAAATTATATGTAGAGTTTGTAAAATAAAAGGGATTGCTACGCTACGCGAATAAATAATCTGAAAGTTCGATGTCTTGTACAGCTTCACTTTTTGATACGGTGCCATGCCCAACAGATGTTAGCAGTTTATGTGCAGCTGTAGTAAGCATATTAAGAGGAATCTTTTAGACTTATTTATCTCTTTAAATAATACTGTCTTCAAAAAGAAAATGTTTTCCAATTATTACTAAAGACAAGATACTTGAAATTTTATCTTAAATCGCAATAATGATAGTAATATCACAGTTCAAGTTATTTCCTGATTTTTTCTGACGCAGATTGTCATAACGTTACGACCACATTTGCCTTCGTAACATTTTATGCTTGGAATCATTCTGAGAGTCCTAGCGCCCAGTGCCTCCTGGGAGCCCGTGGGTGGATAAACATTCGCGTTTCTAGTTTCTACATATGCAAAATCGGTTTGCGTGGGCAAGACGGGGATAAAGCACGAGTCGGGACGACGAGGGAAAAAGAAATAATATTTCGAGTCGAAAATTTTGTCCGACGCCGCGTCCGGTCGACCGCGCCAGGCGCGGGTATTGTCGCGTCACGTTGTCGCTGCACTTTACCAACCTATCGACATCGTATTAAATATAGTCCCAAGGACGGCGAACAGGAGTATCGTCCAGAGATGGTCGAAGAACAGCCGATTGGGCATGAAGTAGCCGGCGTCCAGGATGATAGGCGGCAGCATGTACAAGAAGAACGTGTCGGGCGTCAGCGGCGATATGTGGACGCTGCTCGCCTGGAACAACAGCAGGCCGACGATCACGCCGACGGCGATCAGCAAGCAGGACTCCGGGAAGATTTTGTTGAGCTTCGGCGTCATGTGGAAGCCTGGACCCCGATCACGGGTATTAAATCATTAATTGTCGTCAGCTTCAACGAATCGAGAGGAGAGACCGAGACCGTTCTAATCTCTATAATTCTGACCAGGGGGGGGGGGGGTTCAGATCCCAAGTCGCAGAGAGACGTGAGAACGATTCGCGCGGTCTGCAGCGTCGAAAATCAGAATCACCGAAATTACATCGGCCTCGATCCGGGGAGTTAACCGTGACGGAACACGCGGCGTGCTGCGCCAGCGAAGATTCCAACGGAGCGGTGCAACGGCAGGTGCAACGTGCAACGTGTCGCGTGTGCCCCGCATTTCTTCACGCTCGGCACGTGGTGGCCCCCCCTCCCCCCGCTTGCTTGCGGAGGCGGAGGGTTCCGTCGGCGCGTGTCGTGCTATATCGCGTACGATGACGTATCCGTTCGAGAACGTGCCGGATATTCGGTGCATCTTGCACGACAGTATTCTCCGTGGAATCTTCGCCTCGATTGCGGGTAAGGACCAAAGCACATAACATGGCAACCACAGCGTAGCGATATACGACGGTCGTAGTCCCCGACCTGACAGATCAGGATATGTACGCCAAAGTGCGTTACTTACGTCCACTCTCTAAATCTGAATCAGTGAATAGTACTGTGAATCAGTGAATAGTCACTGATATCAGTGTAAAGTATGCCACTGATTCATGAAAAGTTCACTGATTTAGATTTAGAGAGCACGACTACGACTGTCATATGTGCTTTGACCCTCTCGTAATTCGTAACGCGACGAATGAGCCGCATTGAACGTATACGAGCCACGATGTGGCTTATCGTCGACTTGAAAAACGGAATTCGTGACATTATTTAAAAAATTCAGCTGTTTTATTTACTTACAGCAAAATTTTTTATGGTTCTACAAAGCGCTAAAGTTTATGCCCTGCCGAGATATTCGCGCGACTGGTGCGCGAACTTTATAGAGGCAGGTGTATTTTATTCTTGCCCGTTTCTTTCGCTCTCGTGACTTTTACCACCGCTCCGTCAAACGAACAGAAATACCAGCGGCACAGTTTTTTTTTTTTCATCACCTACCACGTCTCGCCGCGTGCTTGCGTATCCACGCGTGCGTGCAATGCGAGTGAAATTGCACGGAGAGAGAAAATAGAAAAAGATGCGCGTTCATCGGGTTTCGATCATTTATATTGCTTGAACGGGTATCCGCGGTAAATGGGACGCCCATGTTCGAGTTCATTTGGCGCTTATCGTACGCCGCGCGCACAAAAATGAGTCCCTACGTGCATCGTAAGATACCGCACTCTCTTGAGTCTTCGAGTGCTGCAGCATCTTCATGCATCTCGAAATGCAAAATCGTCGACTTTCTGCCGCGCGGGCAATTTTCAAGAACTTGCACACGAAGGCGTTATACATATTTCGCTGATTTGTACGAAATAATATACGAGTCACAAATTGTTAAGGTACTTTTTACTCGATATTTTCGACACGATAATAGCCTTTTGTCCACATTCCCCTGCGCATTATTCATTCGAAATAAATAATTAAAAATAAATTTCATTGCAACGAAAGAGGGCAACGAGCCTTGCATAACGTAACGAATATTGCAGCGTGCTTTCAAATGACATTTGCCAGGTTTTGTTATGTAAGCAAATGGAAAAATGGGGCGCGCTAATATATTCATCGAAAAGCGTCACTATGAAAATTCATGCAGCCTGATATGCGCTCGGCGGATAACAAAATTGTGACAGATGTTTTCGGTTATGACAATAGACGCAAAGTGTGTTTATACAGCATGACAATTTTCATACAACATGTCTATCGTAATGTTTGAAATTATCATATTACGTACGTGGTATTGTTTGACTGTTTCCAATTTTGTCGCGCATATTATCGCAAATAAACAGTTAATTATACATAGATATATGTCATTAGGGGATATAATCAGAATGTTTATTTTCTAAAAAAAACCTCATTATTTTCCATTGAGAGATGAAACTAAATTTATAACGAGAGAAATGTTGCTTTTATTTGGCTTGTTGAATTTTTGATGCCTTACGTTCCTGCGAAGTAGATAATGAGTCTTCCAAAGGTACGACTCTTAAGTACACCGGCAAATACTCATTTGCTGTATTATCGACGCAAATATCTCGGAAGAAAAAACATAGCTGCGAGATATTAGCTTCTCGGACGAATATCGTTTCATTTAAGAGTACACTTGATTTATTGCAAATGTTTACCGCAAATGTCATATCTGCCTGTCGTTTCCTACAATGCGTTCGTTCTTAAACGCTGAAAAGTCTGTTGTTTACATTAAGCGATATGTTCCAGAGAGGCCAATACTTCACGCCTACGCGCATTCTCTCCCGAACACAGCATCAAGAGGAGAGAAATAAAGTACGAATAAATTTCGGATCGGCTATCGTCGGCACTTACCGATTTTCGCGATGCTGGCGAACAAGATCCAAATCCCAATGAGGAAGGGCGTCTCGACGCGCGTGAACTCGACGCTGACGATGTGGTACTCCGGTTTCGGCGACTGTTGGTCGCCGGTCACGGCGGTGTCGTCGCCGGAGCGCGGCGAGGCGAGCTGCGATTCCTTAGGGAAACGTTGCTCGGCATCGTCGCCGCTGGCCGACGAGAGGCTGCGCAGGGTGGCGTCGTTCGGCAGGGCCGAGCGGACCACCGGGCCCATGGGCCCGAAGTTCATGCCCGGGTAAGCGCGGTGAGGATCGCCGAGGAAGTCGTCGGTGTTGTCGATCTGCGGCCCGTGCGACGACGCGGGATGCTTCTCCGCCGGGATGATCCGCTCCGCGGATCCGACCTCGTGGAAGGGCGCGAGATCGGCGCGGCCGCATCCCGGACAGCCGAGGAGGACGACGGCGACGAGGAGGAGGAGCGCGGGGATGATCATCGGGGCGAGACGCGGGCCCATGGCGCGGGGCGACGACGACGACGTCGACGACGGTGCTTCTGCCGTGGACGATCCGCGCCGTCGTCCGCGCTCGTCCGTCGCCGGTGAGTCACTACTTCCACTCGCTGTACCATCAGAAGGGAACCGCCACGACGACGAGCACGCTTGCACGTGCTGCGGGGGCTCCCCGCGATTGACTCCCCTATAATCTCCGTATAGCAGCGACAGGGACGGTTTACCCGACGAGGCCTCCGCTACCCTCCTCGAGTGCGATCACATACACCGTCGACTCTACCCCTCGCGTCTCTCCCGCGCGATAGCGTGGTCGCCCCCTGGGTCACGCTATGCAGCACCCCGATCCGCTCGTACACGACGATAGAACGATCTCTGTCTTCTTCCGTTAAGGAAAATTCGTGTCTTCGCGCGGTTCGCTCGTGCAAAGAGATTTTCTCGGTGATAAATAATTCTCTAATCTTCCTTTCGCGACGTATTCGAGAGTTAAAGCGGCGAAGCTTCAACATTCATCTTGGTAATGATAGCGTACAAGATGTAACATCTTAGGAGGAAAAACAAAGTCAAACTGCTTCGCCGTTGGATTCGCCGACCGGTTCGGCGCGAGGCGATTGGACGCGAATCCGGTTCCGGGCGGTATCGCTTAAACCACAATCCGAAATGAAGGATGACAAGTGTGTCGCGGCCGTAAATCGGCTAAAACGTCAAACCCAATAATTAAGCGTGACTCATACCGCTTCGGCGCCGAGACGTCGCGCGTTATGACAGCTGCTGCTGGCGGTCCATGTCCCTCGAGTAAGATCGCATCGCAAGACGTTGGCCAGATTCGTCACCGTTATAGGAATGCTCCACTTGATTAGGGAACCGAATAAGATCTCTCAGCTGGCGATCGTATCCTCGGATAGAAACTACGGGCAGTCGCTTTCCGGTTCGGACTGTTCGGAGCAGGGAATTGGACTCTTTCCCCCCCGCGCAAACGGAAAACCTGTGCGTTAACGCTGCACGAGAGAACAACTTTCGACTTTACTTGGCGCGACACGAGGACAAGACGGGACGACGCCGCGACGGGGACGGATGCGTCGCTCGTCGCTCGTCGCTCGCGAATACCGCGACGCTCCTCAAGTCTTTACGGAGTCGCCCGGCGGCGGTGAGCGCGAGGTCTGGTCGCGGCGCGGCCGCGGCGGCCCGTGGACGACGACGTGGTGGAGGGACAGGAAGCGCGACGATGATAACGGGCGCGCCGCATTATAAAATACGGGCGGGCGACTCATCGAAGTGGACGTTACGTCGCACCTTCGCCGGCGTGCCTCTATCGACCGACCGACCGACCGAACGGGACGACGGAACGACGACGGGATACGGCAGCACTGCACGGCCGCGCGCGGTAGTACTGACGCGCACTACCGTCGCCGTCGTCCGACGAGCGCGGTGGCGGCCTAGGCGACGACGCCGATGTAAACCGCAGCCGAGCAACGGGGAAGCGCTGCCGGAAACGCGCGTAGGCGCCGTCGGCACTGCCCTCGTCGTCGGCGACGATAGGGAATGGATGTTACACACGTTAGACCGCGGCGGGCGCGGGCGTCCCCTTTATTCCTCTCTCGTCCTCTCATCCATCTCCGTCATCCCTGAATCCCTCCTCGCCGCCTACCCTCTCGCGTGAGTCTCTCGCTCCCACCACCGCCGGAGCTTTCCAGCCAGCTGATCGTCGATGAAACCCGCGCAAGCGTCGCGACGCCCCGATATAGCTATACCCTCGACCGCGCTGCCAGCGGCGCCGCTGCACGTTTCGTTACGCCGATGCGCCGTGCCCGAGAGAGAGAGGTTCTCCCGTCAGAAATACTCTCGCCCGACGTTATTAACGCGGCTCGTTTGCGGTCAGGCTTTACGGGTAGCGCTGCCGCATGCCGCCCCGAGGGTTCTCGGCGCGGCGTCGTCGAGCTCCGCGCCCGCTCGAGGAAACGCTCGTGCACAGCAGCGAGGCATATTTCGCCGGTAGTGGTTTCCTCGCGCAAACAAGCACCCACGGCTTACCCTTTCGCGCAACCGACGCGCGAAATGCTCCACTTTTCACGGGGCGATGCCGGCGTCTCGACGTCTCGGCGACGGCCGCGCGAAGCCCTGACTGACGATCTTAAACCGGAGGAGACTCGTCGCGTCGCACTCGCCGGGTCTCGGGGAGGCCTTGACCTTGCGCAAGCAGCCGGATACGCCGGCATCGCTCAATGCCGCGCGGATTCGCGCGGCCGGCCCGCCGGATATTTCGGCGTATGCGCGAGACATCTTTCTGGCGCGCGGGGCGGCGCGGCGGCGACGCTGATGTGTATGTACAACATATCAATCGTCACCGAGCATTATCGCGGCGACTCGACGTAGACAGCGAAGATCCCGTTTTCCTCCTCCGTATAATCATCGCGACGCGCCGTCCCGACGACGACGAATCGCTGATCGGCGTCGCGCTTCTTGCGCAATACGACCGCGCGGCGGCGGTAATTCGTGCGACGAGCGCGGCGGAAAATGCGGTTAGATAAGGATTTATTGCGGCCTACTTGCACAATAAAAAATTATCAGGACGTCGAGTAGCTTCTGCCTTGACAAATGAACCCCTCGCAAAGCGACGGGCTCCGCTGTTTGCGGAACGATAGAGAGGCGCGCGCGGTCGCTTTACTCTCTCTCGCCACTTTAACTCCCGCGCGCGCGCTTATCTTCCGTACGTAGGTACCTCTCGACAATCGCCCTGTGTTTTATCAAGATCTAGGCGGCTTTACGGAAAACCCCCTCGGCGTCGTACGTTGCGCGGTGTATGGCGAGTGCAAATCCACCCAGACGTAAAAATCGTTGATCTCGAGCGTTGCGTTTGGAGAGTGCCGAGGGCTGCTTCTCTTCTCTAGTTTCTTCCCATAGCGGCACACGATTAATTAACCGACCCCGTCTTAAAATTCATACACTCGATTGCTCCGCGCGTCGTCGCGTGTCGACGAATCTGCCGCTTCGCTGGATCAATAAAAGGAGTCATTCGACCGGAAAGCCGGGATCTATTTGGTTACGCTTGCTATTTGTATACGCCAGCATACGGGGAATCGCTTGTTTGCACAACGATAAAGCACGATTAGCGCGGCGAAACGATAAGAAACGATCCCGCGCGCTCGTCCTCGTGGAATTTCGTGCGCGCGATGAAGTAGTCCGCGGCGCGGCGCGGCGCATACAGAGTTTGATTTAGGGCATCGCATTATCGTCGCTATCCGACAGGGCAATCGCGACGAGAGACGATAAACGCGATGCGAATCGCACGAAAAAGAATTGCCCCCATCTCTCCGTTCTGACACACCAAGTCCCGGTCGCTGTCGCTATATTAATGACGAATGAAAGAAAATAGCTCGAATTTCTACTTTATAAATATTCCATGCCATTTCGCGCGAGGCCATTATCTCCCGCGAATGTCTACCGGTCAAATCTCTTTATACCCACTCGGCGTTAATTGGAGACGAGATTTCAGATTTTATTTTTCAAAACGTCGTTATAATTTCGCGTGTGCCGCGATTTGACCTCCCCATCAAATTTTCATTAAAAGATTATTTTGAATCAACAAAGTCTGAACTTGGCTCTCTGCAGTAGTCTAATAATATTTTTTATGCAACACGTGCATGGAAAGTGTCCCATTACGCACGCTACGCGTGCGTGATAGACCACTTTCCAGGCACTTGCAACATAAAATAGGGAGTGTAAGTCGTGTGTAAAGATGAAAATTCCCGGGTGCGGAGTTTACGGTAACCGCACCCGGGAATTTTCATCTTACCTCACTTGTTACACAAATAACTATTACATCACACGTGCGTGGAAAGTGGCACATTACGCGCGTAACATTACCGCACTGTTTTGACTCGTGTGTGGAATTGGCCATCCGTCGCACAGATGACGCGCGTGCAATAATGGGCCACTTTCCACGCACTTTGTAATATAAAATAGCCTATGACCCATAAAATAGCTCATAACTCGCCTTCGGCTCGTGCGTCCACTCCGCGTCCGTGTCCAATTCTCAACTTCCCGCACTTGTTACACAAATAACTATTCCAACCTTAAACTGCGCGCCGACTACCTTTCACGATTTACAAGTTATGGAAAGAATATGTGTAATACACACAAAAAATATTATTAGGCTACAAAGATCCAAGCTTGGACCGTAAATTAAGCTTATTTAATGTTGATTGATTGTATAGCATAATAATCTCTTATCATTGAATTTTCTTTTATCATTGGATTCGACGGGAGACGTTGTATTACATCTGTTTTCATTCTCGCCTCTCTCTCTCTGTCTCGCCCTTTATTCGCTCCATCTCTCGTCGTTTTGCTGTTCGTGTCTAGCGGCTACTTATCGATTTTTCGTTACGCCACGCGCGCAACCTTGGATTGTCGCGTTTTTCGACTTCGTACCGAGAGAACGTAATCGCAACATTATTTTCGCGTTCGCGTCATAAACAGGCGTGCTCCCCTTTCTCTCCCTACCGGGGGAGAAACGATACGCGCGAGAAGCGAAAGTGCGGCCGTACGAGCGACAAAGCGGTGGAGCTTGACGGACCGCGATCGCGCGGAATTAACCCAGGGTCTCGCGTGTTACCGAACGTCGTATTTCGGTAATTATATCGAGCCTGTAATTTCGCCGTTATTAATATTTCTAACGGACAGGCGCTATAACCGAATGGTGCTTTAATGAAGGAAGCGGCATTGATCCGAGTCACCATCGGTCGGCCAGACGCGACCACGCGGCGCGGCGCGGCGGCCCGGATTCCGAATTCACCCTCGCGCCGCGGCGCGCCGGCTGCGTGACGATTGTACGCGGCATTACCGCGGCTTATCCTGAAATTAGCCTGCTGGGTATCGTTCCCGGACCTGGGCGGCGTTATCCCCGCCCGCGAATAGAGCCGGGGCCGAGAGTAATATGAGGCGAGTAAGGCAAGGGTTCGCAAACAGCCCTGCCGGGAACGACCGCTTGTTGCGGCGGGGCACGCAATCGTATAACGTATACGACATTCCCCGTGCTCCATAATTTAAAGGGCATTTCTGGAGCCGCCGCGCGCCGACGAGCGGCATATGGCCGAGAGTTATGAGTGGTCGTGGATTTTTAATCAGATCGGATCCCTCGGTACATATATTAACGATTGTATTTCTCGGCGGTCGTCGTACGCGACTGGAAACTCGGACATCACGGCAATGGAAACGACAGTTGCGTGTAGTATTGGCGTATCGCGCACGTGAAACAATAATAGACGCGTGTACACTGAAAAAAGGTTTTAGTTATAATAACCAAGGCTTGGTGAAATAGCTTCAACTAAAGGGTTTAGTGATTATGACGAAATCATTTGGTTAATGTTAACAAATTTGGTTAACATTAACCAAATATTTTGTCATAATCACTAAACCCTTTAGTTGAAGCCTATTTCACCAAGCCTTGGTTATTATAACCAAAACTTTTTTTCAGTGTATATCTGCGTAAACGCATGTACTGACAATCTCTCTTACATATAAGCTACGTTTCAGTTATATAACATGAGCTATATGTGTTACATGTGCTTTTCATGCGCGAAACTTGTACAGTTCCAAAAAACGAAGACTTTAAAGAATGGCACATACTTGTAATACCGACAATTGCACGTTCTTGTATAGTACCGGCGATTTTTCATTTCGAGATTTGAATATATAGATTTATTAGAGATATATTTCTAACTCCGCAACATGGGTGCAGAATGCAGAAATAAATGCGGCTCGCAGCAAAGTCGGACGCAAAGTTGTCAAATGCGCTATATTTATTACGGCTTTGAAAGAATTGTATAGAATCCGACTACACAGGATGTAACGGCGATAGCTTTTCCACCAATATTTCCGCCGCCGATATCCCGTCATGCTTTCGAGAGAGAGGAACGGTATTCTGGATTTAATAAAGTCTCAAACGGTACGTCAAATCGAAATTTTGCTTGTCTTATTTCTTGTCCCTCTATTACCGGGCGAGATTGGAAAGGGGATGGCCTATATCCCCTGGCGAACAACATTGCACGGATACGCTGCTACGTTATTTAAAAGGTATACCGCGCACGACGACGCTTCGTGCATCGCTCGATGATTCGAAAGGGGTATAACGACGCTCTCGGCTCGGCTCGGCTCGGTCAACGCTGCTGCGTTAACGGGGCCGTTCCGTCGCCCCTCGCCCGCTTTCCGTCTCCCCGATGCGGAAAGGCAGCGAACGAGGGTGCGCGAGGGTTCCACGAGGGTGAAACACCCACGTGGAAACAGTGGCGAGGGAAAAGTGACGAGAGAAAGCGGAGAGCGTTAAGAGTAACGGTACTTGCGCGAATTCTCGTCTCGACGTTGCGTCGTCGAGAGGCGTCGGTCGGCGCGCGATGTGTCGTCAAAACTTTCATACGTCGGCGACGCTGGAATGACGGCGCGGCGAGCCGACAGTCGCTCATTGCATATTAATGGAACTATCTCGGAGAAACTATATTTATCGAGACAAATAACGTCTTATTTGTCTTAGACGTAAGGCGTAATATTTTCGCCTTTACTTATACATGGCGAAGGGTTCGAGTTCGTTAACTCATTCAATCGCGACTTTCTCTCTTATTGGGATTAATGGATATTACGCAAGTCACGGCGGTGTAGCCGTCCGGTCACGTATTCGCGCTGGAGTTTATTGAGACGCCTTAGGATAAAGGGATATTACGAGGAGTTGTGTTTTTTGTTACGCGAAGTTCGCAACGCGCACAGAACAACACGCGCAATTACATCGGCGACTTTTTTTCTCTCTTTCGCTCTATCTTCTCGCAGAATATTGGCGATGATCTGAATTTCGAAACCGGCAGGGATCGATTTTACGATAAATTGGCGATCGGCACGGTTATCGCGCGAGCGCGGTATATAGCTCCACGAACAGCCGAATGGATCGTAATTAAGATGTTAAACAGATGCAGAGCGCCGATGGGTATATTAATTAGCCGCTATTCATTCGCGCGATCGCGTACCTATGAATCCGAAATGAGATCGCTCGATGCCGTCGGTTTCCCTTACCCCGCCGCCGCGACCGTTCCCTCCGCTCAGCCGGATACACTCGCGGCCGGATGCGGAATGAAAGGGGAAATTGGCCCCGCGCGCGCGGGTCCGCGAACTTTTCCCTGCGATTAGCCGCCCTCTTCCCTTTTTCCAAGGTTCCTTTTACGTCCGGTCCGTCGTCCACAATCAGGTGCATTTCTGGGGGACTGGAAGCCCGCCGTGCGCCGCTGCGCCGCCTCGTGCTGAAACACGTCTATCCATCTTCCTGCGTCTTTCAGAGACCTTTCAGGTTTATTGCGGCGTAAACAAGACCCCCGCGAAAGGATCGTTTGCTCGCCGCGCGCCGTCAAAGGTGCAGCGTAACTACCTAACTATTTTTGCTCTCGCGCGTCGACGCGATTTACCTACTTACGACGGAACGTTCATCGCGCGGAAATTTCCTAATTTGATGCATTACGAGTAATTCGATCGGCGAGGGTGATGCGCGCGCGGGGGTGTAATTAGTTTATTCGGGGGGACGTATTATGTACGTATACGAAGTTATATCCGGCATGAATTTAAATTCACGCCGATGTAAATGTGTCGCCGATGGCACAAGTATTCCATTCGTCGATGCTATTTAATGGACATGCAGATACGTAGATGCAATGATGATTAAAGTTATTTATATTCCCGGCGAGGAGTCGGAATATAAATTGGGACGTTGGCGAATGACGAGGATTTACGAGTCGGGCTCATTTCGCGGAGAACGTGCGAATGATGGGCGATAAGGCCGATGGAAAGAAAGGCCGCTGAACCTGAGACGGCGGAAAGTTTTGAAGATTATTTCGAATTAGTTTTAATTCGCCGTAATTGGTCGCAAAGCGACGCCGCACCGGAAGCGGCGGGCGGGAGGGAGGGAGGGAGGGAGGTGGGCCGAAAATTCGTTTTAATTAAAATTGATAATCCCGAGTGAATGGGTATTACGTAAGTAACCTCTCGGCTGCATTGGGAATCGAACAAGTTTTCCCCCCTTTGAAAGTTATTTGAGATTGCTAGTTACGTCCAGCTCCGAAGAGCTAATGGCGACGTTGTGCAATCGTCCGCACACAAACACAAACGCCGACGCACTTACGCAAGCTACACAATTGTGCTGTCGACGATACGGACCCTGTTCATTCTACTTTCTTGTATTACATCGGGGGGTGGACGACAGCGATAAATAATCGTGGGATATCCGCGTATACTCCCTGTACATGATACTCTTCATGTAAGTTATGTTCGCACATATTTCTGAAGGATAAAAGCTGAACAATATCTGTGCCGTAGACAAGTCTCGTTCATTGTGTCACGGCGTTACTGTTAACTGTTGTACGAGAAATAGCGAGGATAGCATGGAAGACAATGCCGTTAAGCGAACGGATGAGCAAACACTCCAGATTAATTGTCCCTTTCGTTTAAACTTTCATTTTATTTATGAGTCATTTTTATTTATTTCTCAAAATAGACTAGACGTATATATAAACGTACAAAGAAATGTACAATAGATACAAATCTATAAAAGCGTGGATCTGTGAATATTTGGAAATACACAATCGATAATATCGCTATCGAGACGTATAAAACATAATCTAATTATTATTAAATATCATCGTAAAATTAATTACAATTGATTCATTAATTACAGTTGTAATTTATCTATATAATCTTCTATCAAGATAAAACTTGACAGAAGAGGATACACAGATGCTCTAAATAAAGAGCGCAGCGGTATTGTCTCTCCTCTCTCGTCGAATAGTTATCCAAGTAAAACAGAGCGATACAGAAAGAGCCAGACCTGCAAATAGACAAACGGATATCCAGATAGGCGGTCTGATAGAATATCGATAGCGGTATATCTCGAAAGAGGAGGAAGGGAACACGTCGTGACAAGACCGCCTGCCTCGTAGCAGGAGTGCGTTCATCTTGCGAATGCATACACACACACATACACACACAAAACACACACGTAGGGGGCGGAAAGGGAAACAACGCCACAACGCGGGGGGTGTTGCGGGGGAAGAGAGGCCTCGACGGGGGTGCCAGGAGGAAAGGGGAGACTGGACCTATCGAGGCCGGCTCGGAGTTGTTCGGAATCTATCGGTGGACCAGATTTTACTCGTATACGTACGCACATTCACCCCCGCGGCACAACGACGTCGGAGAGGGTGCGTGTCGCTCCGCCCGATGTACATGTGTGAGTGCTCTTTCCCGTGTACGTACACCCGTCGCTAAGACACGTTTAACAACGCGGGGGACGCAGGCGCGGTTTCGCGCGCGGTCACGCTCGCGCACTCGCGGCGCGCGTCGCCGGCGCCGTCGTCGTTTCGCGGAAGGAAATTGATTCTGCGCGAAACGCAACGGGGGTTCGCAGCAGCGACGGAGCCAGCCGTGCACCACCAGAGAGAAGCCGGGCTCGGCGGGCCGCGCATACTCTTCCGCCGGGGAATAATCACTCCCGTGATCGAGTCGCGCAGGGATCCGCGTTCGCTCCACGTAACGCTCAGCCCGACGACCCCCGACCGCGGCGTATTATGTAAGGGGGATGTTGCCGCCGTCGTCGCTCTCTTACGCTACCCTTTCACACGCGCGCCGTACTGGCTGTTGCTACTGCTGCTGCTGCTGCTGCTGCTGCTGAAGAGGAGAAAGAGAGAGAGAGCGAGAGGCCGAGCGGAGAGGTGCCTCTCCGACGACATGCGAAGAGACGCGTCCGACGCGACGACGACGGACGACGAGCGAGGATCGCAGACAGCCCTGGTGAGACACGTCGACGGCGACGAGCGACCGAAGCATCCATGGAACTGAAAATCCTCCTGTGGGTTCACATCGTGGGTGAGTTACCTTCCCCGACGCGGCGCGGGCCCTCCCGCACCGCCCTGCTTCCCTCGATCGTACGTGCAATGCGTATACACGCAGAATCTCCCTCTTTGTAATATTTGGCAATAATATTATACCCATTGTCACATCGACGGCATGCATGTGCTCCGGGACACCCTCCCGCTATACCGTCCGCCTAAATTCGCGTGTCCTGCCGCGATGCCTTCCCGCTGGCTAGCTGCCTCGCACGCTCGTTAGCCCCGACAGACGGCATCCTGCGATATAGATTTCATCCTTGCGGCCGTTCCTGTCGGCCGAAGCGAGATTGCTGCGATGGCTTATTCAGCCAACGTGGATCGTACGCGCGGAGCGCGCCGCTCTACTCCTCTCGAGATGGACCACTTTCGCGTGACCGGAGCGACGGCATCACGAGCTTGCAGCTGCAAAATACGGAAATAAGTCGAGTTAGCCGCGAACAAATATTTCGCTCGAAAACGTAATATGTACGTTTGCACTGACACACGTTTGAGTAAACACATGTGCGTGTACGTGTGCAAACCGACGATATATAAATTTTACCCGCGTGTGTTCGACTTTTCGGTCAAGCTATTACATTAAGCCCGATGAATTTATTATGTTAACATGGATTAAATTAAATTGCCGATATTAAGCGATATTAAATTATCGCATCGAAACGCATGGGGCGACGGACGATAAAAATTTCAAGCTAAGCGCGTGCGTCTATACATTACCATCGTTAATTTAGCTCCACCGTGAAATTCATGCCTGAGTGCGCCAGGTCAAGACACTTTTTCACGATATCAGAAACTTTCTCCATTACGGATATTAGCATAAAGTATATATATATATATGCATACACGATGCGGTACGCGCGAAAATTACAAAGCCATCGCCATCGTAAGGATTATAATAACGCGATACGCAAACGTCGTCGTCGGGGGGACGGAAGAGAAAAGGGAGGTAGTGCATCGGGAACGTCTGTCTGAATCTGCGGGATTTCCCAGCTCGTGGAAATGGATTTCGTCTCGACGTTGGGCGTTGCTACGGGGAACAAAGCGCAAAAAACTGCTAGCCCGGGTCTCTCTCTCGTCTCGGGATGAGGAAGAGGATCCTTTTTCGCCGCGAGCGTTGAACTAGCGAGAGAGCCCGGCGGTGTACCCGAGGAATGTCGGACGCTGGTGTCGGTCGGGTCGTTGCACCGTTCGCCATAAAACGTGCGGGCGTTCCCCGTAATAGGGCATTAACAAATTTAACGAATTCCCATCACGGTGGTACATAATCGCATTAATGACATTCTGGCGAATGCGATTTTACGACCCGCGCGCGGTGAAGAGCCCTCTCCCCGCTCGAGCCGGATGAATTCACGCTCCGCTCTGCGCTAGCAAATCTGGCCTCATCAAACTTCCTCTCTCTCATCGATGTTTTTCTTCCTTAATATTAACGCTCGCGTCGGCGAGCGATCAAATATCTGATTATCCTGAATCTTGAGACTTCGCGACGATTCTCCGTAAATGGAGACTCCATGCTCGATGCCAGTCTTGTGTCAATCTTGCTCTTCTTTCGAAGATTATATTTTAAAACAGCTCTGTCATCGATAGAAGGATCTTTCGCTAGATAAGTGTTTTTCTAGTCGGAATTCTTTGTAATATGCAGGTGATTATGAGAAGGACATAATTTCTATTATGCATGATAGACCGGTGGGGTTAAAAAAATATCTTCAACAATTCAATAAATTAGCAAGTTTTAAATTATCGAGAAATCGTTATGTTGACATGCTGATAAAAGATATTCATCTGTCGTTTGCAGCATGTGATTAATTATCGAAATCGGCGAATTAAATCTTAATGTCTCCTCGTCGCGATAAAAATGGACGGGACAGAGAACCGTAATATCGAGAAATAAACTCGCCGGAATTATACCATTTTCAATCCCGCTAACAAAGAATAAACGCTTGATAAATGAAGTGTTAAAATGTATACTCCACGCGATCGTCTACGTCATTGCAAACCTGCGCGTCTGACGTTAACAAACATCTCGCTTGAAAACGAAATAGCGCGCTTCAAATTGAATGGATTCCGAAACCCGATATTTAAGCGCGAGATATCCCGTCTGCATTAGCGCGATATTTTTACGAGCCGGGGATCTACTGTATAAAAAGCGAGTTATAACCGAGTTTTTCTTCCTAAAAAAAAAAACTAAAAAAAAAAAAACGAATGAGGTAACTTCGCCTATCTACGCGTTGCCATTTATAACGCAGATAACGATGTACAGCGGCGCGGCGCAACGATTGTTCCGTTATTACGGTATCTCGCTTTTATCAGTTTGCGCTAAAAATAGACAGAATACAGATAACATTTTCGCGGAATCTCGCGGAATCAAAGTCTCAACGACGCGTTCTCGTCAGTAATTTTCGTTCGATCGCGCGCGAGCCTTTTGCCGGCGCGCACAAAAGATAAGCTTCCTATTGGAGCGTATATGGGGATGTGCGAAGCGTCGAAGCGCACGACGATACGGGCCTCCTCTTCCTCTTCCTCCTCTCGCTTTCTCCCTTTCCGCAAATGCGATTCGTCGCTTCGCTCGGCAGCTAATTAAGCCGATCGCTCTACCGAACGTCATATCCGTTCTGCAGATCCGTCCGCGCGATTGTCCGATCGGGCGAAATCGCGTTCATTGCGCGAGAACGCTGTCCCGTTAAACCGAGCGTATCGCCATTAGTGTAAGCGAATTAAGCTGAACTCGCTCTCGTATATCGGCATCGAATATTCCGAATCGAGCCGCTGTCTCTCGAGCAGATTGATATTACCTACTTCAACCATCGGATACATCGGGCGAGTGGAAATTATTGCGAAGCGCTTATTGTTTGAGCATTTACTCCTTTTTTCTCTCTCCTCTTTTCTCTTTTTCTCTCTTTCTTTTCCTTTTTTTCATTTTTGCGAGAGGCTGTAACGTGACATTCGATTTTCCTCCAAAAACTCGGATGGCTCGGAGCGAACTCGCCTCGTTAACATCTCGGCCCATTATCGTCGTCGCTCGAGAGCGCTTCACGAGTGCGTTACGACGTCGTGCGTGCTTTATCTGTTTCTTTCGCACGACGGCACGTTCTTTGCCTTCAGCACGACGACGACGACGATAGTCTCGGGCGAGGCGAGTCGTCACCTCAACCCCTTCTTTTTTCCCGTCAGTCGTCGCTTTTGCTTGCCGCAAATCCACTTTTTATTAACGACTAACGACCGGCCGCGAGAGAGTGCTCTACTCGTGGTTTTGTAACTAAATACCCGTAAGCCCCGTAAAGTGCCTCTAAACGGGGCAGGGGGAACATTACGCCCGAATCGTCACACCCTTTAATGCGCTGGGGCAATATTTCCCTGCGACGATACTTTCCTTCCCCCGAAACAACTTCATCCAATCCGTGAAACTGCGAGAGAGCTCCCGAGCATTATATCGATCCCGAGGAAAGAAACGCTAAGAATTTCTCGCCGGCGCGGCGCGACGCGGCGCGCGGAAACTTTCGCATTGAAATCGTTGCGTTACTGGCATGAATCATTTACACGGAAACTTTAATACCGCGGACTTTCTTTACATAAACAGGATCTCCAACTCGAGTTTGCTGACCACGAAGTTTGTCGCCTAATTGAATACGGTAACAAGTACGACGCCGCGACGCTGCGTTATGTGACTCGTAAGTTTTAGATTTCTCTCCTTCAAGAAAGAGAGAATATACATTCAGAATACGTGTGTAAAAAAAACAGAATTCATAAACTACAAATGGGATTCTCCCTTTCAGCGATCGAGATTATGAAACGCTTAACAGATTTATTATGTAATCCTTTTATGCAAAAGTTATGCGCGAACACATAAATAGCCGGAGAATGGGACCGTTTCGAAAGAGCGAACGATTCTCGAATACGTCGGCACGTGGAAATTCCGCGCGAAGGGCGCCGCGACGAGACGAGATTCGTTTGGGGGAACGAGTTCTGTTTCTCGCGTGAGATCGATCCCCATTCCTCGTGAATGAGAATATTTGGCCGGTCGTCGGTGGCGCGGCCAGCGAGGGGGGCAGGGGAGGAGAGAGGAGGGGGACGGGGGCGCAACGCGGGAAGGATTCTATTCGCGATCGATAAAGGATTCCGACGGCCGACGTGGGATTCGCCGAACAATTTCAAATCCGCGGATGAGAGAGAGAAAGAGAGAGAGGCAAGAGTGCGTTGCGTCGTTGCCGTTATTATAAGAAACTATTTCTCGCGAACCCGTATTATATTCGCGGTATCCTTTCATTACGAGGATTTCCGCGTAATGACGATGTCGCTCTGATAACCAGTTCGTGGGGCTGCCTGCGAAGCCCAGTGGTTCCCAAGCTCGCGCGGCGCGCAAGGATCATTTGATCTAATTAAAAGATGAGGCTTCCTTACGATAGTCGCACACAGAAGGGTCTGAGGAAATATAATCTTTAATTAACGTAATGTATCTACCGTCGCGGCTTTTTGTTCCGTCGAGCGTAATGCAGCAGTGTATAAGGCGCCTGAAGGAAGAAATATGATATCTTTATGTACTTAAAGGACGAATAAACTACAATGATGGCAAATTATTATCTTCACGCGGATCGAGCCAAAAGTAGCGAGATAACGTTTCGCGAGATCGAGTCGTGAAAAAGTAGCCCATACGGAATACCAAATCGAAGTAGACCATCGGCTGGAACTTTAAAATCGATAGCTACACACAATATTATATGACGTAGCGCTTTTATTTTAGCTCGCTCTTCCAGATAGGCGAACGGTCCCCGTCGTCGCTTTCCCTATTTGGGAAACACTGTCCGCAGGCGTAATCGATGAGGTATGCATCGCGGGGCAATATTCAGCCGCCTCTCATGACATGACACGGCAGAAATTCACCTTCGGCTTTCATTTCCTCTTTTCCCTCGGGGGCATGAGTCGAGATTCGGATCCGTATACGCGGGTCCCTCTGCGTCCTGCACGTGTGCCCTAATAACTTCGCCAAGATCATCCGTCCCGATAAGCGCGCAACGCGAGCCGGACCGCCGTTTCAGCGACAAACGGGTGTATAATACGGTTACCGCACGCCGTCGCGTCGGCGGCACAGATAAAATATAATTAACGAACCCCTCCTTTCTTTCTCTTTTTTTCGTAGGAATTTGTTCGGGTCTGAGAGGAGTGCGCATCCAGATACCGACGGCCGTGAAGAAGGGCGAGTCGGCGACGCTGAAATGTTGGTACGACACCGAGGGCGACCCATTGTACGCCGTCAAATGGTACAAGGGGGGTCGAGAGTTTTATCGCTATGCCCCAAACGAGAGTCCGCCCGTCAAGACCTTCCCCATCGGGAACCTGACGGTGAAGGTAAGTTTCCCCTCCCCCCGTCCTCGATTCAAGGAGACGGACGAGCTTACAATCTCTGGTGTCCCGCGGGTGTCGGCCGACGCGAAATCTTGAGATCTTTTCGTGCTCCGGCGGGATCACGCGGAGAAAAAAAGCGGGTGTCAAGAGGAGCAAGAGAGAAAGAGAGAGAGAGAGAGGGGGGGGGTGAGGATTTATTGCGGTCGAGAAGTTGCGAATAGAACACGATAACGCCGATAGCGCCGGAACGTACAGTTCCTGCTTGTTGTATAGCGTACCGTTCTACATATCGGCTGATCGAAGTTTTTGAATTCGAGCTGTCTCCCTACGAGAGGGGTAACTGATGGCCGTCGCCCGTCGTCGATGTGCGCGCCGCTCGTCCCACTGGTGTGTGCGGGCGTCGCGTTTTCCCTCCATTAAATTTCGTTTTTATTTTCCTTTTTAATTTTTTAACTGGACAGGAGTTTTATATCGCGTTTTTTTTTATTGTAGTCTTATATTCGATTTATGGTATCGCAAATTCTATATTTTTTACAAATTGCATTTTTGTCATTTGCCAACTATGAGAGAGAATCGATGACACACTCTGTTATTTACATCAGCGGATTTTATATTATACATACGTATACCAGTATTATACACACATGTATGTAATATTGCGACGTTTGAGTTGCAATTTTTTATTCTTTTTAAAATGTATCTCCCCCTCTCTAAATGAGATACGTTCCACCTCACTCTATTTTATTCCAACGTTTCGCGGATGCATCGTTTACACGCCTCAACCCAGTTGCTTAAAACGCCGTTAAATATAATTTTATGCGCGGTCCGGCAGAGAGTCCAATTAAAAATTCCGCATTTCGTACACGACAGCTCCGATTACGATCTAATGACGGTTGTTATGACGAACGTCCCGCGCGTGGTGAAACGCGACACGCATCCACGGTGTCGGTGGATAGATCATACCGCATTATTGCGCTCGCACGCGCGTTTCTTTTTTTTTAACGTCCGCGACCCGTTTCTATAGCGCACCGCATTTGTGCGATATATATACGGACGCCGAGCCGCGGGGGTTTCCGCTGCAATTCGGACACCTTGCTGCGATAGTCATTATTTTTACATCGCCGATAACGACTCTCGGCAATCGGCAGCCTCGATATTTAACAAAATAGAGAAGAGGTGGAAAACGAAAATGCAAGCCCGAGTGCATCGCCGAATATTTAACATCGCCGCGGATGGACCGCGCGGGGAGAACGCGAGACGGGGATTCCCCGTTTGGGAATCAAATCGGGGCTGGATATCCAGGATATCAAATAACCAGGTCGGTCGCATGTCGCGCGATTGGTGGATGCATTGGTCATTAATGGATTGGACGGATTCCTCTCGTAAGCGCGCCGCGTTACGTATTCTCTCGCGTATGTACACGTACATACATGCCGCGCGTATCATCCGGGAGAATTCCCGCAGTCCTCGTGTCTCCGATAATCCCTACGACGAAGACGAAGATGAGAACGGCGACGAGGACTCGCCATCGTGCCGAGGCGCGCGGCACGATCGTAATGAATTACCGTTGTTCCGCAGAAAACGGAGAGCAACGCGACGCAGGTCGTGCTGACGAAGTTGGAATTGGAGGCGGCGGGCGCGTACAGCTGCGAGGTATCAGCCGACGCGCCTTCCTTCCACACGGCTATGGTTGACGCGGCGTTGAACGTCGTCGGTAAGTATCTCCCGGTGCTCTTGCGCTCGGGCACGTTAATAACTTAGTACGCCTGTCGTCGACTGCATAAAAACACGGTTAGAGCGTTATTACTAGACGGACGATTTAACGCGCCTCGTCCGCTTTAACGGCGCGTCTCCCCCTTTCCTCCCCCTGCCCCTCCCCGTCCGCTGCGATATCGAGTTTTTGATAAGGGAAATAATAATAAGCGCGCTATTTAAATCGCATTCTCGTCGTCAATAAAACTTTTACGATAATTCACCGTAAGATCGACGAACCGAACGCGCTTCGCGGAGGTAAAAACGCGAAAGGGAGGGAAAAGGAGAAAAACGAGGAGACGCTTACGCCTCGCGAGCGACGCCTTTCGCAATTTACAGGGGAGGGGGAGGGGGTTGCGCGCACCGAGTAATATATTTTAACGACGTAAATTGCATGTCGCTATTTTCGAGGTTCCTTCATTAAAACGTGTGGCGTCCGATAAAGTTAGGCGCCGACAACATTTTGCCGAGGGTTTTTCCTTTTTCGAATACACGGTAATCTATTCCGATATTACGTTACGAGAGCGTAACCCTTCGGGTAACGGGTAACCACTCCGGGTACAATTAAATGTCTTTTTTAATTACTCGCGTCTCGCGCGCGCGCGCGCGTTACAGCCAGCCGCGAATGAGGAACAAGAAATATATATTCCGCGTGCATCGCGAGTTTCACGGAATTTCGGAGACGCGACACAAATCTTCCGCGAAAGACGGGGCGGGACTATTCAATTCTCGCGTCAGAGAGACGCAGCGACATTTTTATTCTCCCCCACATCTCGTGTCGTAAAGGAGCGACGAGGCGCGCGAATTTACGTCCACCGTAAAAAGTGAAAAAGTAATATTTCGCGAGCCCGGGGCTGCCGGCGACACGTGCAGGCGCTTGTAACGAGTCGCGCGTGTGTGCGTGCTCGACGACGCATTACGATAGCGAAAAACGACCGAGCACGCGAGCGCGAATCGCTCCGTCTATCGTAAGAGAAAGAATTTTTCGTACAAGAGACGAGAGCGCGAGACGGGGGGTTGTCCTCCTCCTTGTATCGACCAACTGTCACCGTTCCGCCGAAAGTTTCGACTGTGTCGGGCTTTGAGAAACGACGACGGGTCCGGTCAAGCTCGGTCAAAGCGACAACGTCTCGTCTGCACGCAAGCTCAAGCGGTGCTTGATCGCGTGAGGGTGTACAGGGTGGCTCGAACGTAAAGAATTTCATATACGTATTCTTTGTTCTAAAGCCTTGTATTCGCGATGCTGGAAATCGCTCCGAGATCTCGGACGGAGAAAGAATTGACCAATTGCATTGTTCAACTGGCCGAATTGTTCAAATGTAATTCGTTCATAATCTCGGAGCGATTTCTAGTATCGTGGACACAAGGCTTTATTAGCATTTACTAATGAGAAAACGTTATGCGCGATTGAAAAAAATGGTTTTCTTATCGTCGATTTAAAAATTTCACGTGAGATGAATTTTACTTCACTATGGACCATGCAATTTGAGAATTTATTGCGAACGCGTTAATGTGAGAAATTGAAGATTTGCTGAAAAGAGATGATAGTTTTCCTCGATATTTTCGCCAAGAGAAAATCTGTTTTCGACACCACGAAGTAGTATGTATGCATGGAGAAGAGGGTGGCTCACCGAGGCCGAGAGAGGGGGGGGGCTGAGGTGGCTAGATCTGGAACACTCTATATATGTGGAGTATATATTGCCTTCGCAGAATTGCCCTCTGAGTTGCCGTCGATACAGGGACTAAAGAGGAAATACCACGTCAACGATCCGCTACGTTTGAACTGCACATCCGGCCGGAGCAAGCCAGCCGCGAATCTCACTTGGTATATCAACGATCGACAGGTATGCTCTAACTGCTAATGATAGTAATGCGCGCGCGGTTAGACGAGGGGGATATAGACGGACGGAAAGGAACGGGAGGAGAGGAGGATCAGATACCTCTATTTAGTTTACCCCGGCTTTGATCCATTATCCCTGATCAAACGTCAGAGACAAGGGAGCTTATGGGATACGTTCCTCCTCGAGCTTGAGATGTTCCGCAAAGTTGGAGAGAGAGTAGCATTCGCGGTGCGGAAAATAATTTAACATTCTGATCCTCGATTAGCGTACAACATTAACGTAAATATCTCTCGATCACGGCTTAATTGAGAACAGCGTTCGGAAATTTTGACTCTTTGCATATCGAAAATCTGTCCCTAATTATTTAAGCAATTAAATCTGCGCTATCGATATTTTATTAATTATAAAATTAAACGGTTGAAAACTAAAAATAAAATGCTGAAAATTTTTTTGGAGATTGGATGCATGTTTTAAAATGACGGATATTTTTACAAAATGTAATTTGCAATGCTCAAAATAGCTCCCCTTAATCGCCTTACGTCAACGCACCTCTACGTAAGTTATTTCGCGTGCTAGGCACGAACGCATGACCGCCGGAAAATTGATATCGCCATGCTACCAAGAATTTATATAACAGCAGCATTAACGATATACGAAGCAGAGCGCAGATATACTTTTTCATTTTTATTCCGCGATATCAGTATTTATTTCACCTCTTAACAGTCCATTATACTATCGTCAACTCATCGCGGTTATCAAATAAAATCTAATTAAGTTTAGTTTTTTTTTAATTAAATATATTCGAGATAATTAACTTCCATATCAGAATATATATGGCTCTGACACACATATATAATTGCGAAAAACTAATTTTTCCACATTATCCACGTTATATTTTTTTACGCTATGCATATTTATATCTCTACATCAGCGACCGTATACATTTAGAGAAGTTTTATCTAATCCCCGTTGACTAATTTACTTATCTTTTCTGTTTCCTCTCCCTTCAGCCTCTCAAATCGCACGTCCGCACGTACAGCCCGCTCGACACGAACGAGTCGGAGTGGCAGATTTCGCAAATTGGACTCCAGTTCCTGGTTACGCACGATCACTTCGTCAACGGCAAGCTGAAGATACGTTGCAGCGCGTCGATATACGACATTTATTGGCAGAGCACGGAAGTCAGCACCGAGGAGGATCGGCCGCGGGTGATACACTACGAGCCCGCCGCGACTATCGTCGGCATCAACTACCTCCAGCCACCGCCAAATTTTCAGACCGGCCAGAAGAAGCCCGACGGGCAGGTTGGAGTGAAAGGTAAAAAGCTTCCTCACTTTTCCACTTGCCGGATCAACGTGACGCAATTTCATTATTCCCAAGAAAGAGAGGCGGTGTGCCCGTAAATCTTCTCGGTCGACTCTCTTGAACCTCGATTATTTATCGAAATTCGAGACACTTCGGGAATCTGAACGCGAACGCGGGCGCGGATTTATTTGCTTCGAGAGAGCGTTCTATTTTTTTTCGAGCTTGAACAACATCCGGCGGGTTCTTTGAGCTCCTTAACGTTTGCTTTGAAACACAGAGTCGGAGCGTCCAGCAAGCCACACGCTGCGTTAAGCCGCGATCTGAATTCCTCCGTGCGCGCGGCTTAATCCCTCGAGAAAGAAAAACGAAAACAAAGAATGAGTGGATCGTATTATTAGAGCGTCTCGTTCGATAATTTTTCAGTGCTGGGGTCGTCCACTGGGGTGAGCCTGCTGCGGCCGTCGGCGAGGATCATTTTGGAATTGTTTGCGCTTCTTCTAATCGTCATTCGTTAAAGGCATATATAGTGCATTGGTTCGAGAAACGCGCTTTGGAACACTTTGCGTACGTGTTTGTAAGAGGACGAGGAGCAGGAGGAGGAGGAGAAGAAGAAGGAAGAGAAGGAGGTGGAGGAGGGCTCGAGAGGCGCTTTGTGCGAGGATGACGTTTCCTCTATGGGATCGCCTCGGATCACCACGCAACAGCAATATACAACCGGAGCGAATACAGAGGGAGCTCCTTGGGTCACGTCACAGCGATGAAACTCTGAAAGGCCTTGTTCGAATTGCCGGAGGAATGGAAGTGACGGGGACGCGCGAGACCGAGGATTCGATTGGTTTCGGAGGGCAGAAAAGGCCGAAAAAATAATCGTGGACGTGGCGGGCGAGCCCCCCGCCCCGCGCGCGCGAAATGATTTATCCGACGTTCACTCGTCCCGACGATCAACGAATGTCCAAAAAGCACTACAGCGACGAACAGACACGCGGCTGGATATATATACTCGCGATATATATATATTCGGGAGTTATTTTACTATTATTAGACCATATACTCTTTGCTTCCTTCCAGCGGGGATAATGTGTTTGCAATGTGTAGGTATACGTATACATATATAGTACGTTTCGTCGCATCATACGAGAAGATAGTTTTTTTTTCGTACTTTTATAACTCAGAAAGAGACTATAACGTAGCATGAATGTACGTGCGTATTCCTCGACAGCGTAATAACACTCATACACGTGGATACAGACACACATATACGGAAGTATAAACAAATGTGCATGTACACGACAGATATGAGTAGGGTAAAATCACTCGATGCAGACCAGCGTACATACACATGATACATACATTCACACAGTCTCTCACACACACATACACATACACTGTCGTCACACTTTTTCTCTGTACGAATAACTGATAAGTATAAAAGTGTTCGCGAAAATACATATTGCGGCCCGCCTAAGTATTTTACAGTGTGCGAGATGATGTACCTGAATCGGATATTGGCGCGAACTTCTTTTTTTTGTGTTGCTATTTAGGGACTATGTATTATATATATTATATAATAAGTGAGGAAAAGATGTGCTATATATATATCGAGTTACATGGTAACGACACAACTTTGTGTATCTCGGTCATTCCATTTCGTATTAAAGCGTAATTAATTTATTGATGAGGCTGATTTAATTGATGTACAGTACGATTTATGGAGTTTATTATAAATTCATTAAGTATATTGTCACTGTGTTTCTTTGTATGTAACCTCTATATCTCTTATATCTCGCCGCAATTCAAACCGTTATACTCTAATACCTTTTTTATATCATGCAAATAGACTCTACTGTCTGTGCGTACGTATACCATTCATCAAATAACGGTTGATAACATCATAAATCATATTTGAGCGCAGTTTGCGCTTATCGACATTCATTTTCATGAAATCAATATTTCCGCAAAAGTTGCGTTCGAATTAAAATATGCTATCAAATAAGGTTAAAACATAAGAAGAGAATATCTGGGAAAGATATTAGATTCTTATATATAAAGACAATATATTAAAGATTATGTATTCATTTATAAAGATAATAATTGAAAATTATTTAACAATAGTTCCTTTAATTTTATTTTTTTTATGTCACGGAGAAGAACATCGTCTAAATAAATATAATCGTTTGCTTTCTGGCGCAGTGTTACATATATTTATTTATATTTATATTGATATTTATATAAAAATATATTTATTACAATAGTAAGCACAACAATATGAAAGTAAACCAGTTATTCTCGTTAAGAGAGTTATTCTTGTTAACAAAATTTCATTGTTATTGGTAACTACATACCAGTTAATTTTATTGACGCGCTGCGTGAACGGCGCAACTTTGTTTTCTACGCTAGAGCAAACATCTCTATACATTTTAAACGACCTGGATCGGCTTTAAAACAATGCCCCGTCGTCTGAATAATGCACGAACGCAAAGAAGAGGGCCGGCCCGTTGACTGCCCGCGAAAACGCCTAATTCCCGTGAACAATAAATAAAATATCATTCGACAAAAGCGGGCGTTAATTCGCCTGGCGGAATCGAGGAACGCCGCTTTGCGGATTATTATATTTATTTATGCATGACCGCCGTGTGTGTACGCCGTTAATGTGATAACTCAATTATTGCACGCTGTAATGTTTACCCTGTGCCGTTATGCGAAATGTATAACCAACGCGAGAATATTTTTGATATTTGTGCACCGCACGTTTGTAACTGTATGCCAGGCAAATTGGATTAGTATCCTAAAATATCAAGTTTGCTTCTTCTTATCTCTTTTTTATGAATCTCTCAAAATATTATCTTGTATTAATATTTTAACAGTTTTTTTAATTATAACATTTTTAAATGTTTATTTTTTTTACGATTCGCGTTATTGAGTTTCACATTAACCCTCTGGAGTGTGTTATAAATTTCAGTTAGATATTTTCAGAATAATATTTCGACAATACAATTTCCCAAAAAACAATTTGAGAATTTATCTTCAACAAGACTTCGCGAGTTTGCAAATCTAGTCGAGACAGTTACGACAAGATGACTTCAAAAGTCTTCAATATTCTCCTCTTTTATCTCATATGGATCTCGTTGAAGTGTTCGCAGAATGCGACAGTAACAATCCGTAAATGTGATTGTTTATCGCAGTATTTTTCTTGGAAGCACGGAAGAATTGCAATTTTTCAAGAGTTTATGGAAATATAATATCCGATAACGAAGGAATTCGAGAAAACACATTCTGTGTTTACTCGCCGAAAAGTTTTAAAACTTTCTCGTAATTTTCTATCACTTGAATCGAATAAATAAACTAAAAAAAAAAAAGGAAAAAAAAAAAAAAAAAAAGAGAGAGAGAGAGAGAGATCTGAAAAACGATAACGCGCAAAGACTTCAATACTAAAGTTATGTATAATAAATCCTCGTTGATGCGTAAATTTTATTGAGGCGGGAAGACGGGATTTTACAGCAGCTGTAATAAAACAAAGAAGCATACGCGTTGCTCGGCACTAACAAACGCATTTCCGTAGATCGAAATCCACTTGTAATATCACGGAGTTTAGATGCCGCTCGCGAAAGTGGCCGCTACATTTATTTACATAACAATGGGGTATGGGTATTGTATAACTACATTAATTATTTACTATACTATATAGTATACACGAGACCCTTTCTTCCGTATCTATCGCCTGGGGAAAATTATGCTCGACCGAGTAAAACCGCCTCGTTTTCGATCCTCGGATATGGTCCACGAGGCTAGGAGCGGCTGGCAAATCGATGGCGCCAGGCCGTGGGTGTGTGGGCATACGTCAGGCGCTCTGAAGGGATATCGGCGAGCGAGATACCGTGACCCAGTACACGAGTACTCGCAGCACACGAACGAGGGTTTTCGTTGCTTGGCGACGGGGAAAAACTGGAGCGGCGCGGCGGCGTCACGTCGCGTCGGGGATTCGAGAAAGGATGAGGGTCGCCGTACAGTCCGGGTACGATCCTTCCCTCGGGGTGGGCGAGAAGAAAAATTCGCGCCGCGTGCGAGTCTCCCACGCGAGTCGAGTGCCGGCGCGAGTATAGGAATTCGCGAGAATCTCGCTTGAGAATCGCGACGAGACGACCCCGGCATAGCACCGTCGCGTCGCGTATATACATCAACGCTCTCGTGCGCGAGTTTAACCCTTTCGTAAATCGTTACCGCGAATTTCGGAAATAATCTGATCGCGATTGGCACGGATTCGACGGGAGCTGCATTTCTCTACGACCGTTCGTCCTTATTTCCGCGACGTTCGCGACCTTCGTCGATCGTCCCGCTGATATCTGGCGGTTAATATCAACCGCGATCGAAATACACGCAATTTTGCGCTTCGCGCTCGTCCGTATTGCGAATTACCATCTTCCCCTATACAGAGATGTAAAACGAGACGAACTTCAGCAACCGGCAATCTTAATGCAAGCGGCATTAATGCGGATAATGTATTCCGTATCCGATCTTCCGAGGGAAATTGCTTTTCGCCGGCGTCGCGTCGCTCTCGCGAGTGCGTGCCGGGGGTGAAACGTGTGCGTGCGTGCCATCCCGCGAATACCACCCCAGCCGCCGCGAATCCAATAATCGAGAGAGTCGTGGGGATTACTTCTCTCCTCGTGTATTTCCACTTTGACCTGTAAAATTTATATATTGTTTGTTTGTTCTTATTCGACGCACCGTATTTACGGCACTGACCGCGATATGTGTCGCGGGGAGATGTCAGGATAAGGATGGTAGTAGGTGAAAGACGATATTTGATATATTGAAGGAATAAGGTAACTTTTATTACTCGATAGTTGCACAACGACGCGTACGTGACTAGCGTCCAACAACGACTGACTCCTCTCACACTTCTTTCTCACTCTCCGCCAATCCAGGCGTTTCTTCCTGCGCAGAGGGCTACGGCGCAACTCAGTACTTCAAGCGACCAATCACATCTTACGGTCTACTCAAGCACGGCACAAATAATCTTACAGACCTTTGACTAAATAGTGCCCGCGGTCGCGAGAAAACGAGGCTCTCGAGTATTTTGAATCGGCGACGACGATAGATCTGGAGCACCGCGACCGAGAACATCGATCTCGAAGCGTCGAACGTACGTCGCGAGATTTTTGGCGCCGGACCAACGGAAGCGCGAAATATATATCCGCGTCCGTCCGTCGTCGTTGTAGAAATTTTCGCGGACCTCGTTGGACCTCTGCCCGCCAGATATTCCGTCATGGACTCGCTGTTGGAGGAGGGTGAGTCCCGGGGATGCATGATGCCCGCCTGCGTACGCATGGCACCTGCCGACTCCTCCCTCGAGGCTCTCGGCGAATTTGCAAGACGTGCATCGCGCCGCGCAATTGGATACTGTTAATAAATTCGCGCGGAATTCGCTAATTTCTATGCATGGCAAAACCCTGCGCGCCAGATGCATTATTCAACATTTATTTTCAGAAACCGCAACCTTCTTCAACTCTCCAGAAACTTAATTTATTTAAAAAAAAAAATGTAAATTTGTAATGAGTTGCTCAAGAAACAAGATATATTTTCGTCGATCTCGATCACTTGTATAAGCTTCTCCAACAGTCGAAACTACCATACATTATAATTTACGAATGTTTTCATAAATATAGTGGGCTGAAAATAAAATACTCGAAGAAAGAAAATTCGATACCAACTTGTTTGTTAAAATACCGCAACGTTAGACGATCGAACATGTTGAAAGCACCTACTATCACCTATATGTAGGTCCCTCGCATGTTTCTCGTCACATTTACGCTTCTGCTCTCGCATGCGCCGAGGAAAATTGGCCACAGAGCAGGTCATCGGCGTGGCGCGCGAGCACCGAGGAAGCGATATTCTCGATAAATTGCAATTCGCTTGCCGAGGCAACAGCCTAATTTCGCGACTCGCCACCTGCACGTGTTCCACCTGGCGCGCGGGTAATGCCGACGCCCTTCCAGGAACACGGGCCTGGGGGAGAAAAAAAATATCGCGCCCGATATATCCGCCGCATCGGCGTAACGGATGGTACCATTCGTTTCCCAACGCGAACAAATCGAATCCGCCGCGAGCCGGAGATAATCGCGCCGTAATTTGCGCGGTGACAGCGACACAACCGCTCTTTGTCCGTTCACACCGTTCGTCGGTCGATACGGCGTTTGATTAATTGCGATAATGCCCGCGTCCCGCGGTCGCCCGCCTCTCCTGGGGTGAAAAAATATCGCTAGAAAAATAAGCGCCGATGATTCGCGGACGCGCGGCGCTCAGAAAGCCGGTCGCCGAGTTGACGCTCGCGCGCGCGCGCGCGAGAGAGAGTTCGTGAATATTCATTTCCGATCATCTTCCGGTCGCGACGGCGCAAAAGCGACGAATTACCATCGAGCTCGCGGCCCGTAAACATCGCCCGTATGAATAAGTTACGTTCAATTATTGTGTACACGCGAAATATATGTCGAGCTAATAAAGCGTGCGACATTTCGAGCTGCATTTTACATGATACGAGCGCAAAACTCATGTAGAAATGTGAAACTGCCGTGAAATACGATCGAGCGTTTATCGCGACGACGTGGCACATCATGCATTATAACCAACGATTTCTCACTCCAGTTTCCGCCGCGTCATCTTTAGCTCGGCGTTGAATATCGGCAATGAAAGAAAATTCGGTGGGGACTAACGCGGATCCTTCACTGCAATGGCCAGTTTCT